GGCTAGCATGTCCCCCTTTTAGAGGACTCCACTCTGGTCCTCCTCTGCTGCACCCCTCTCTCCATGCAGTAAGGTGTCCATGGATCCAAGAGGGCAGGCCCACCCCAATACCATGGATCCTCCTAGACTAGCACATTCTGCAGTGGTGAAGTTCTATACGCACCATCCAGTGGTAGCCACTAGCTACCTGCAGCAAAGGAGTCCTGGAAACATGACATGACATTTACTTCATTACACAAGCATATTTAATTCAAAAACTTAATAGAAGCGCTACATTTTCTTTGTTTAAACACATGCATAATCAGGCTGCATTTACAAATAATTAAAAGAATATTATCATGTTTTCTGCAAAAGATAAGAGGATCCTCTGGACTCCGATGTACATCTATTGAGTAGTGCTTTTCAGGGCTGGAAGGCCCCATAACCTAAGTGTGTGGGTGAGTTATGTGCAACTCAGAGAGGTCAAGAGACAGGCTCACAGTAACACAAGGGGTAGTGGCACAATGACTAGGGCCATATTTCCAAATCCCCAGCTTTTGAAAATAATATTTTTGTTGTTGCTTTTTAAAATTGTATTTATTTTATCATGCCCTTGTTTGCTTAGACACTAGTGATAATCACCATCTCATTTTTGGTCACAGCCATCCATGGGAAAATATCCATCCCTCTCCCATTTCATACTTCAGTACCCTCAGTTTATCATGGTATGAACAATGACGTGTATCTTTTAGCACATGGACATGGTTCAGTTGAGCTCCATCACAGAAGAGCCTCCATTTGAAAACTATTTTGAAAATAAATCTCTCCTTAGGAACAAGGGGCATGCTGAAGGGCAACCTTTAAAAGTCACGGGAAGCCCTCAGAAATGTAACTTTGCAAGGTTGGCGCACACACACACACACACACACACACAATGTTTTTTTTTAGTCTAATTTATCCCATGCTCCCTTGAGGGCTGGTGTTCCAGAGAAGTTGTGATTTATTTCGGGAATGGTGTGATTAAAAACTCAGGAAACTCTCAGAGAAATGGAAGCAGAGGGAGAAAAAGGCAAACTGGACGAGCCATTGCAGAGGCCAGGATGCAACAGTAATGGGAAGGAGAGGAGACAGAGTGACAGACATGCCCCCAGAAAAACACATTTTTTGTTCCTTTCAGCTATGTTAGTGCTCTTTCTGGCTCTTCTCCTCAGGCAGGATGGAGTGATTTTCATTAGTTGAAACACTGAGCTTCTCTACAGTGACCATGTTGCTCATTGCACTGATTCGACGTGTGCATCTCCAGTGTGCAGAGGAGTTGGGTACATGCCCGGGACAAACAGATGGGAAGAAGCCCCGTCAGTCACAGCTTACCCAACACCAACTTTGAGGGACACTGAGACTTGTACAGGGAGGAAATGCAGTAGCAAATGGAAAATTGCTACCTGTGTGGATGCCGTTCATGGTAAAGCAGAGAAAATGTGCGGCCAATTGTGGCATTTTGGCAATTCTTCCTCCAACTCCAAAAATCCAATGAAAGAAGAAAAGGTTCACTTCCTTTGTTAAAAAAGTAAGCTTGCCACTACTGCTTGAAGACAGTTCTGAGCCATAAAAGCAATCGCGATTTTTATGATCTCCCAGAAGCTAGCAATCATATAACCTCGCATCTGGGGTAAAAGCAAATAACAGGTGATACCTGGGAACAGGAAATTTTTAATAGCTCCCTTCCTAGGTGTATTCTGAAACGATGACGTTCATAGGAAGTGATAGCGCAATAGTTAACATGGAAATGAAACATTAACACTTAATGTGGCAGGACTAGGTTAAAGGTTACCTAGATAATATGAGCACTTTGGGACCAACAAGGCTCTATAAAACGTACCTCCAAATTCTAAAGAGCTTCCAGAAGGGTTATCAGAAACACTGTTGATAATGTGGTTAAATCAACAAAATGTTAGTAACAAATGAAAAAGCATGTTTTTCTAATTTGGGATGCTGGACTGAACTTTACAACTTTTCTCTCATAAAAAAATAGCCCTAGACCAAAGGTCAACTTGGAATTCTAGTGATCAATTATTATTCTATTTTAGAAATGCTCTTATTGATACCAAGTATAATAGTATGATATATTTTTATCCCATAATTCTTCCTTATTATTAACCTCAAGTTATATAACATTTCCAAATTGTGAGAATGTAAAAAATGCCGAATATATCCCAAATGAGCAGAGTTGACTCTATATCTACCAGAATTTTTGGCTCTCACATATGTAACATTTGCAGAGAAGCTCGAAGAAAGCAGATTCCAGTTTTACTTATTCTTTGACCTCACAAGCATCTCCTTTGAAAGATTTCCTTTGTGTAGTCAAAAGTTGTGAGGTTGTGCATTTTCTTTTTAAACTTTTTCCCCCTTGCTTTTCTTTGTTTGAATCTCTTTTTTGACCCTGACTAGAATTTACTGCTGTTTCCAAGCATATACATATAATTTTCTTTTAGTATGTAAAAATTTAGCCAGATTGAATTTTATAAGAGATTCACAGGGTCAAATTTCATTCTTTTTGGGGGAGGTAATTTGAGGGCTACCACAGAGGGATTGTAATCTCAATTCCCTAGGTCAGACATGCAGTGTCGGATTCCTAAAACACTTCTTGGGGAAACCTGTGGCAGAGTTATTTCCAGGATTATCATTATGAATCTATCTTTTTTAGCCTTTGTTTTCTCAAAGCATTGGGTTCCAAGGCTTCCCTGTCACTTATGCAGAACAATAGTTTCAAGCAAAGCCAAGGCCAGCCCCAACTGGCATCTTCACTGTTGTGTATGTCCTTGGTGTGGACCACGTAGCTATCTCTTGTTCACTAGGGTGTTTACTGAAAGTTTTATTGAACAGCAGTGCTATCCCTTTAGTGTGTAGGTGGTTTAACCACTTTACAAAGATTGTAAGTACATCGAAACTAGAGATTGTAAACTGCACACTTTTATACAGAGTGTATTTCAATGGCATGTATTAATAGTTTATCTTGTTGAGTGGCTGAGTAAATGAGTGACCATTTGCCTGATCTATAGTAGGAGACCTTCTTTAGGTTCCATTCTAAAAATAGTTCCCTGGAGATAAAGGTAGCCAATTACTGCCACTGGTTGGTCCACCTGCAATTCTAAATGCCAAAGACACTTATTTATGTTATTGTGAAAAGCAGTAGACTTTTTGGCTTCTTGTGCTGTATGTTGAACATCAGAAATAACATTTTTTAAGGTTTCTACATGGGCTTCAGGTTTACATTTCCATTCCATCCAAGGGACACATTAAGAAGCTATCTGTGTTGTTTCTTGGGGTATTCTTAAATTTGAATGCTACATTTTCGGTGGCAAATAAATGCACAAAAATATAATGTCAAATTTTGTTGTCATTGGTATGTTGTGGTGATAAAATGATGATCATGGGATTGTTTTTTAATCAATGCCAAAACAAACCACTTTTTAGCTCTATGAATTTTGGAAAATATCTAATTGATTACAAGTGAGGCATAATTTACATCTCTATCTTTTGATGTGGTCCCAGGATTACCTGTCATTGGATTACCTGTCATTTATTGCATGGTTTAAATACAAATAGATCTGAACTGAAGTGTGAAAAGAATTAGGTCTATAATGCTGACAATTGTGTTAATATTCCCGGTAAGGTACACCATAGTCTTTATATGAGAAACTTATCTCCCTGTGGAGTTTTCCTTTGAACTATCTCTTCTATTTCTCTCCATCAGGCAGAAGACTCTCCCAAGGTTAATAGCAGAAAGGTAAAAAATCTGGATTCATAAGAAAGATGGAACTTCCTACAACGTAGGCATGAATGATGCCCTACAGATTGTGAAGTGTTATTTGATAATCTACTTACTGATTTGTAAGATTTTACTCAGAGTCTGTTTTTAATCAAATTTTTTGTGTGTATTACTGTTCACAGAATGGAAGAAAAATTGGAAAACATATGGGTTATGATTACTTTTCTATTTTAAAAAATAATTACTTTTGAGTCTAAACTTTTCTGCTTTGATTACAGACAAAATACAGAAAAGTGTTGTCTGGGCCTGGCTCCTAGATGTAAAATACAATCTGTGTTGTATATGCTGAATGAAATCAATGACTATTAATAACATTAAGATGATCAAAGAAATGTACTAATGGATTTTCTAAATTGCTATTTGGTGTGACACAGTGTGACTAAGAGTGCGGTCAGCCTGTGTTCGCTTTTACATTTATAAACTACTATTGTCTACCTTCATCTACTCACACCAATAATAATAGAAACCCAACAACTATAGAGACATATCCAGAAAAATCCTGAACAGTGTTTTCAAATAAGCAACAATATTGATGACTATAATTTGTGTGTTTTTTTTAAAGGAAAAGATGATTGATCCATAAATTGTGGTTGAGAATGTAGTTGAGAAGAAGGACTCAGGTCATAAACCTGTCTTTTCTCTAAATGTTTTCATAATATAATTTCTGTAATGTAAATTAATTTTTTTCAAATGAAAATAAGGAAACACTTTTATGCTAATACAACCATGCTTCACAGCTGGTTTATTACAAATAAATGTTTAACATCTATAGGTATAGAGTGCTGATGAAATCTTGACCAACTAAATTTGTGAATTAGAATCCACAATACTTGGCAAATTCAGCTGTTTGGTTTCCCACAGACCATCCCTAAAATTATACACAATTTTCTGCTATTGTGAGGCATGTTAATAAATAAAAGATATAAGAATAACCAACATCGAAAGAGAGTATTTGTCACTATCACTATAAATCACTTTTCTACACATTTATCAGCTCTCTTCTATGAATAATATTTTTCTCATCTTGGACAAAAATATCCCTTTAAGATTAATGATAGCTTTAGATGAAATTGGAAAAATAGACATTATAAAAATAGGCAAAAAAGAATTAAGTCATTAAGGATGAGAAACCTAATAGTAATTGCATGACTTTTGTCGTACATCAATTTCTGCCTGAATGACAGGTGCTCACCTGACAGCTGTGATCTGGTCCTCAACTTCATACACACCCAGCTTTCGATACACTGCATGCAGGTGTTTGTCACCTTGGAAAGCTGTTCCTCTACCATCCACCAAGGCAATGACTATTCCTTCCTTACTTGCAAGATAAGATATCCAACTAATAGCAAATACAGACCTTACACTCTGACTGCAGGGACCACCATACCTACAGGAAAGAAAAAATAGAATCTCTGATTCCTTTGTAAAACTCAACTTCCCATCATGGCCAAGAATTGCCTTTAGTACTTCCCAGTACATTTGTGTGATAAGATTTCAATAACAGTGGCATTAGAACTGGCTCAAAATCAAGAGAGGACCAGGATTTTCCCCAGAGGTTTGCTATGAGGAAGTTGTTTTGGGACACAGCCTCTCCTATTCCCCAAAACGGATACATCTAGGGTTGGCATTTCAAGGAATATGTGTGGGTTTTTCGTCATTTCTGCCACCTGCCACTTGCTAAAAGCAGACATAAGATATACTAAAAAAAATGCATGGTGTTTTAAGCAAATTGTGTGTAGGTCAGCACTGATTTTGGGTGTTATTCCACTAAATGTATTCCATTCCCTTATTTCATTTCTAACTCAATTACATAAGATGCTAAGATGATTTACAATATTTTTTTTTGGCTGCAATTTATCTCAAAGGTATTCTGACACATTCGGCAATTTGCCATACAAAGGAAATTCAACACAGCAAATGCAAGCAAGTCCATCTAAAATCTTAAAACTTCCTCAATCTATTTAAATAGCCATATTTTATTTACTCTTATTAGTGGAGGAATATATAAAAACAGCATCAATAGGAAATCTTACTAAAGAGAGTGGTTCATTCTATCTCATAAATGTGTGTTTAATCCAACATATTTTCAGTAAATAATTTTTACACCAAAGAAAATATTACATACACTTGAATTAGCAAGGGATACTTCTTTGATCTGTCAAATTGAGGAGGAAAAATCATCTTGTACCATAAAGCTTAGGGGGGAAAAAAGAGAGAAAAATCTTTATTACACTATACACACAGTATTATTTATTTCCTTTAATAACATATATAACATAAAATCAATTTGTCACTAGTAAATTGTTGAGAATCCAGAAAATGTTTTAAATAGATTTTTACATATTTTTGTTTAATTTATGAATTACTAGAAATCTTGAGTTATTGGTTTATTAGAAACACACATTCTATAATTAAAATTAGATAAGCTCTTTAAAAAAATAAGCCTTGAAATAGGACTATAGAAAACTATAAGATCAACTCTATTTACAAGCATATTAAAAACATTTTGTAAAACTGTAACTGTTGTTACAGCAAGATTGTTTTAATTAAGATCCAGTAATAATGTCATATTTGGAATATAATATTTACGGTATCATTTTTTAAAAGCAAGATAAGTGCTTAACTTCTTATCTATAAGTGAGAAGTTTTTAAAAGATCTTACTAATTTCATCCACTTCAAGTTTCTTTATTTCCTCTTTAGGCAGCTGGATATTTTTCAAAGCATTTTCCAATTCCTTGTTTTCTTCCAGGATTTTAATTTCTTAAAAAAAATAAAATGTCCATTTTTAATTAGTAGCATTCCATAAGAAAATTCCTTTCTAAAAATGCTTTTGTGTTTAATATGGACGCAACTGAAACAACGTAAGGACTGCTTCAGGAGTTTCACGTCGGCAAGCATATTTTGAATCCAGCCTTTAAAACAGGTATGAGCTTAGGAAGGACGGCAACCATTATCTCCTAAACGGATTCTTACAGGATCAGAACACATTTTGAGCAGAATCACAGAAGCAAGAATGTTTATTAAGCCATATTTTCCCATCTCTAATTTTTCTTTTTTAACATAGCTATGACCTGAGTGGGTCACATTTATTTTATCATTCACTAAAAAACAGGAGAAATAAAAACTACATTTCTGAAACCCCAAATTTAAAATAATCATTTAAGTGGTTATGAAAGCTGTTTTAAAATGTTAATGTGTTGCTTCAAATACATTTCTGGTTTTTTAATATGTATTTCTTCCTTAACCCTTTCCTGCTGTATACTTGATTGATATAGGGCATTCCTTTTTTGTATTGAATTACTGTGCATCCTATTTCTTCAAATTCTTTCTCTCATAGTAGTTATATATCTTACTAAAACAACAGTATGTACACACTATGATGTCTTTCTGTTTTTCACCTTAAAAAATTCTCTAAAAAAACACCCCGCTGTTTATATTTAAGCTTAGTTATATTTCACACTTTAATCTTTGAGCTGAAAAAATCCATTTTTCAACATACAGGGCTTTTTGTAAGTTTTATTTTGAATTGGAGTCTATACCAAGCATCTTCTAGAGAAAAGTTAAACTTTCATATAATATGTAGAGTTTGTAGCTTTATTTTTTAAAAGCGAGTCTGAATAGTTTCTGAAATACAGAGGTTTCTATGTAAGACATCCTGTGAACTTCTTGTTTTTGTGCCTTTTAAAAAAGTAGTCCTTGAGGATGAGGAACTGGAGGAGGAGTACTTGGTGCTACACTAAGTTTGCCAAACCACTTCCCTTGTAACTCTCAGTTTTCATATATTCATGGCATTTTGCTCCAACATGTTATATTTAATCTTAGAACAATTATAGAGGTTTTTGGTGTGACTTGTATAAGACACATAATAAATTTCATTTTAACTTTGGATAATCCATCAGGAAAGAGATACTTATGTCATCTTAAAAGTTAAAACCAGTCCTGGCCAGTGTGATCAGTGGTTAGAGCATCATCCCATGCTCACAAGGATTGTAGGTTTGATTCCTGGTCAAGGGCAGGTACCTGGGTTGCAGGTTCAATTGCCAGCCCCAGTCAGGGCAGTGCGGGAGACAACCAGTCAATGTGTCTCTCTCTCTCATCGATGTTTCTCTCTCTCTCTCTCTCTCTCTCTCTCTCTCTCTCTCTCTCTCTCTTTCTCTCTTCCTTCCACTCTCTAAAAATCAATGGAAAAAATATCCTTGGGTGAGTATTAGCAAAAAAATAAATATATAAAAAAGGATAAAACCAGCCTTGTCTGGGTGGCTCAGTTGGTTGGAGCATGGTCCCATAGTCCCATACACCAAAAGGTTTCAGGTTCATTCCTGATCAGGGCACATGCTGAGGTTGCGGGTTTGATCCTCAGTCAGGGGCATCAGGAGGCAACCAATCGATGGTTCTCTCTCGCATTGATGTTTCTCCCTTCTCTCTCTCCCTTCCTTTCTCTCTAAAAAAAATCAATGAAAAAACATATTCTTGGTGAGGATTAAAAATAAAAAGTTAACATTAAATTATATATATGAATAAATAAATGGGATACACAATTCTGAGTATAATGAAGCCTGCTCTTCATTCTCCCTGTGTGGGTTCTATATGTTGAACTATCATGGATACAGGAAATCCTGTGTGAAGCAAACACACACTGTGGCTGCTTGTTTTATTTATTTACTAGAGGCCCAGTGCACAACATTCATGCACTGGGGGTGGGAGGGTTCCTCAGCCGGGCCTGCACCCCCTTGCAGTCCGGGACCCCTTGGGGGATGTCCACCTGCCGGCTTAGGCCCTCTCCCTGCCAGCAGGCAGACATCTCTGAGGGGTCCTTAGCACTGCTGCAGAGACGGGAGCTGCTGCACTCACCAGCCATGAGCTCAGCTTCTGGCTGAGTGGCGCTCCCCCAGCTTCTGGCTGAGTGGCGCTCCCCCTGTGGGAGCACACTGACCACCAGGCCGCAGGTCAGTGCATGTCATAGCGACTGGTCATTCCGCCGTTCAGTCAATTTCCATATTAGCCTTTCATTATTTAAGATTTATTTATTTATTTGTTTGTTTGTTTGTTTATTTATTTATTACTATTATTATCATTTCTCCAACACGTATTAGAAGTCAGAGACAATAAGTGTTTCCAGATTTTTTGACTTTGATTTCATCTCCATTCTGTCCCTAGTTATTTAACTTTTCTGATTCTTGACTTACTGAAATGTCAAATTTAATTTAAAAGTTTACTAATATTTTTACTGTCTAGGGTTGCATTTTTACTAAGAAGAGGGTGATTTTTTTCACCCCTTGGAGCAAAATGGAATTTTATAGGGCTATGAGGAGTGGGGGGATGGCAATTGGGCTTCTCTATGTAGCTTTGCATTAAAAGCCTATAATCTGACAAAGGAGTGCCACAGTCCAGACTGCACCTTTAACCTTGTTCCACTCATTGTATATACTGCCCAGTGCCCAGCACTCAGTACCTAGTACCTGACATGTAGTGTGTCTTCTCTGCATATTCATAGACTTTTTGTTATGATAAAATTAAGTGGTAAGAATGATGGATCATGTATGAGATTTGGTTAAATCATATTAACTAGCATATATTGCCCATTAATTAAATTATGTGAAGAATCTGTTAAAAGCTGATAAATGAGGTCATTCCATCAGTCGGGTAATTTTAATGAGCACCTGCTGTGCCTGAAGCAACTAATCCTCAACGGGGCCCTCAATGTCAAGTGCCAACTCTTCTGAGTTTCTACAGCATCTGGTTCAAGTTCTATCTGTTGTTTTCAAATGACCTTACCCACTTTGCAGAGAAAATGAAGCTGTTGTACTATTTTCTGCAATGTCTTCAAGCTTTCATACAATTGCATCCATAATTCTCCACTTGCTCTCTCTTCACAATGCCAGAGATTAATCCCCTCACCTGTCTCTGAACTCCATCTTTTCCCAAGAAAAGGGACCTCCCTCCTTAAGTCTTCTACCACTTCTGTTCTCCTAATTAAATTTACTTCAGTCTGGCTTCCACTTCCATTGTTTCACTGAAATGGCTCCGATAAATTAATGCTAATCTCCCTCTTGCTAAATTCATGGATTTAAAGCAGGCCTAACTCTCTGTAGCACTTGACAGGGATCCTCTTTTGCCCCACCCTTTAGGCCAACATACTCTCAAGGTTGTTCTCCTCCTTCTGTTCCCTCTTGGTCTTCTTTACAGATTCATGTTTCTCTTTCCATTTCTGGTGTTGGTGTTCTACACAGCTTCAGTCTAAGCTTACTCTCCACTATCCCTGCCCTCCCTCAATTTCCCCACTCTGCTGTCTATCTGCTTCCATGGTCATGGTAACCATGTGATTAATTTCAATAAACAACATCAATATCATTCCATTAACCAAGCAGCATCAATCCCTCCTTCACTTGTATGAGTCATTAGTCTGATATAGCTATCATTAAGAAACATTTCCCAACCCCAAACCCAGGTGAGCTGCCCTACTTATGTGCTTCCCATGCTATTAATACTGTACCCCACTGCATCCTTACTGTCCATTCACATATTTGCATTCTCCATTGATCTATATTCTCATTGAGGACAGAGACCATATCTGAGCCAATATCAGTTCATTTTAAGAATTTATAATCCAACACAGTGTGAGAAGTGCTTAATAAAGATCTGTGGAATGAAGATTTGTGGCACCAAATGCAGTGGGAAATGAATGAAAAAACTACAAATAAATAGAAGACACACCATCTGCTATAAAATGCAATTCCAAATTTTTTTGAGAATTTATTAAAAACACAGATTACCTAACCTAATCTAGGATCTATTGAATTGCATCTTCTGGGAACAGCCTCAGAGTATTTATAATAAACATCTCTGGAGAATTTTATCATTAGGCACATTTGCAGAACTGTGCTCTAAAAAAATTGCATTCTATTTCGCAAGTTGGAAAACATATAAACATAACATGTATTATGTATATTTCTAAGTATTAGGTAAAGTCATGAAGCTACGTGAGCCTTACAGTAATTGGTGTCTGGGAAAAGGGAAGCTGACCTTTATTTTGCAGTCATGGAAAAATAGGAATTACACATTTGTAGTGATTTTCATTAAAATAAAAAATGTTACAGATTTGAAAGTGGAACTGCTTTAAGTTCTGAAGATTGAGATGTGCCAAACTAAGAAATACAATGTTATTCTTAAATGTATTTCATTATTAGACCCAAGGTAAAACAACAAAAACAAAAAAAAACTTCAAAATGAAACTAAATTCACAGTCCCATTATTACAATGCCTGTTCTGCCCAGAACCGCGGAGTTGACTCTGACGTCCTCATTCCCTTATTTTCACCTATTCCTGAGCCTTTGAGCTGACTGCCAGTCTCATCCCAAAGCGGTCTCCTGGCTTGTCACAGAGGCCGTGCAGGGACATCTGCAGGCATGAGTGCTGAAGTCCCTCATGTCCCTAGTCACCATCAGCTTCAACCCTATAATGCTATTTAATAGTCCATCGAAGGTATGGAGAACTTCAGGAAGAGGTTCGGGGCAATTATACACTTGGATAACTCTGCTGAGAACAAAAAGGGTTATCTGCGATCTGTGAACTATTTTGAGGCAATATCACAAATATAGGATGGACGAGGACTATCTTGGTAGCAGTTAAACATGGAGAGAGCCTCCAAATTTGGGGCTTTCATATGTGACAACAGTGTGACTTCGCTGTTAAAACAAAAAAGCTAGCATGATAGTCACCCCCTGCTTTGAACTGAAGTTATATCTGGAATTTGTCTCCAGTTTGAAATGCTACAAAAAACCAACCAACCAAACAAACAAAAAAACAGGAATTTGGTAAGTTATACTAACTACCCTAAGTTTCCTTCCAATTTTAAGCTTCTGTGCTTTTTATAAAGCTGATTGAGGAAGATAGAACTAAACCCTCTGATATAACTCATCTGTGTTATGTCAAGTTCTTACTGCAAATAATTATTAAATTTTATACGATCTGGTTTGACTCAAAGAATATCCAACTCTGTGTAACAATCAGCTGGGTGGTAGCAGGGTTCCATCACACCTCCCCTTGTAGGTGTGGGAACTCTCTGGCTTCCTTCAGGGTAGTGTCAGGCTGTCTGTAGACAAGACAACAGCATGCAGGAGAGCCTACCTTGATCGGTGCGGCCATCATGAAGGGTGGAGATGGGGAGACCTGGGCCTGTGCACAAAAGGAGAACAAGAACATAACTTAGTTTGCAAGGAGAACTGCTAATAGCATTTGTGATTAATGTCAAGTACATGTTTTAATTCTGCACCTATTTTTTCTCCCATAGAGAAGTAAACACCACCTTTTAAGTTACATTTAAACAACGCATGAGATCAGAGCCCACTCCAAGAACAGATGTGAGGGAGGAGTTGCCAGTGCACTTTTCCAAGAGAGATACTGAAGTTCGGATCTATTTACAGGTGGACCCGGAAGTGGCAGTGATAAGTGGCCTTCTGGGAAGATGCTATGCTGTTTGGGCCAGTGTTAGCTGTGTCTTTATCAAGTAACCTTCACCAGTACCCAGATTATATTTTCAATGTGGTTTTTTGGTTCATTCATTTTGGTGCATAAAATCCAGCATCTCTTTTTAAAGTAATTAATACACTAAGAAATAAATTTATATAGAATAATTTGCCTGTTCCAATAAGCTGTGGAAGGTCACATTCCTTAGGAAACAGACCCAGAAGGGGTTTTGTGGGGCAGAAGTTTACCTGGGGGGAGGTATTAGAATACACACCTGTGGGAGAGGGCAGGAAAATTGGGCTACAAGGGAGGGTGGGTTTTAGTGAAGTCACAGTGGAGACCTCAGCCAATCCCCTGAGAGCTCAGGCTGTTGGCATGAAGAGTTGCCTCGAATAGGGTCAATGGGGCTGACTTTTAGACTGCATGGTGGAGCAGTCATTGGGTATAGCCGGGGTTGAAAGCAATCCCCAGGAGGTGCAAGGGGGCTGGGCTGTGAGGTGTCAGCCACCAGAACTCTCAGCAGCTGGAGATATGAGGGATTCAGTCCTGAAGTTGGGAGGTCTGGGTGGCACACCAGTGTCTACTATCTATTCCAACATGGAATGCAGGTTCTCTGTGTAGAAACTAGATATTTTAACAAGATGTACAAATCATTACACACTATCACAGATATGAGATATAGAATAAAATGGTACCCGGGTACATTTGCTCAGGCAGTCAGTAGGTTAAAAGCAACAAGCATGGAGCTAGGGGTGAAGGTACATCTGTCCTCCTTCCGAAGCTTGCTTCCTCCGATGTGGAAAGAGTGTCATTAGAGCAGCACCTTGGTCCCAAACAAGCAGAGGGGAATGACCTATTTGCTGTGGTCTGAGAAGACCGGAGCATAAGTAACTCCTTGTTCTGCCCTGTCCCAGGCATTTTTCACCTGCGGAAACATGCTTTTGATCTGCTCTACGTGTGACAGTGCCAGGCGCCATGGGAGAAGCCAGTGGCCATCCAGTTGTGCTCACATTTATGTAATTAATTCTGGGGTACGATAGGAAGCTGCACCTTAGCCACATTTCCCAACTAACCTTTACAGGTAATAAAGCTAATATTTTGATTTCCTTCCTGACACCTCAATCTAACTTGGGAGTAAGGAGCAGGGATATTATGTATTAGGATCCCTCAAAAATCAGGAGTTCTGTATTGTACGGAGTTTCAGAATTTTATAGAATTTCTTTTCAGAGATTTTTGTTCTGCTTTTCTTCAAAGTTATTAAAAGGAACAAGCACACATTATATTTTTGGTCAGGATGTAAGGAAATGAGACATAAATCTGGATTTCTTGACTTTAGTCAATCAGTATCCGCCCTATGGAATTTTCATGGCTATGCAGTTCCAGAAGTGACAACTGGCATATCTTTTTTTGCTCAAGCTACAAGACAAACTAATGACTGACTGCCCTTGACAAAAATGGCCTGAGGGTGTGATCCTAATGGCTTCAGCACCAATTGTCTAGAATTCCTCCTTTGCACTGCTTTTGTGCCATTAGCATCATAAAGGTGATTTCCCCTATTTTAATCCTATTATCTGGGATTTACTCACCATCGCTCTTGGAGAGTTTGAAGTTACATAATGAGGCTTTACTCTTAATCCTAAAGGGAAAGATTTCAAGGTTTTTCTTATGATGGTGCGGTGACTCATTTTACTGGAGCTTCAAAAACACCAGACGATGTGATGCTTCCCACACAGTATATTTTTTGCTAAATGGGAAATTACCATACTGCCGAACAAGAGGGAGTGTGGAAAAGTCAGGCAATTCAAGTTCCAGAAAGGACTCTTCCACCAACTTTTGACTAGAGCTTAGTTTTTGCTCTCTTATCCCTTCAGTGGGCACTCTGGCTTAAGCAGGCAAAGTGATGCAGTGCTTTCAAAAAGGGTTAAAAGTGTTGGATAAAGGCAGAATGCACATAAATATAGAGGGATAGAATGAGTCTTTTGGTAGATTGCAAAAGGCAGCAGCAATACTTTGATCTTTCTAGCACTTATGTCCATTCAGCAAGCATTCAATGTCTGTTACCCATTAGCCATTCTTCTTGGCCTTATGATTATAAAGATTTGAAGAAAGCAGTGTCTGTCTTCAGGAGACAAAGACAGACAGACAACTCAGTATAATCAGTTCAATACCATATGCCTGGCATGTAAGCTTTCAATATGTTGTATAAATACATAGCTTGAATTGAAAAAAAGTTACATATAACTTGAAGGACATTAATGTATACCTTTAAATGCCACAATCACACATATATCAACAACAACAATCTCTTGACTTTTCAAAGATGCCATTGACCAAACATTGTATGAAAGTGTTGTATCAAACTGACTTATTGAAGGAGCATTTGGGCTTAAATGCTCGTTCATTTCCACATGGTCAGATGAGCTGGGTTGCAGGCTCTGGGGCCAGGTGGTTGGGGTGATAGAAGTGGCATGTCAGGGTGCCTTCCTTCTGGGAAGTAAAGGGAACCTCAGGGTCCTTTGCAACTAGGCAGGGATCTCAATCAAAGATTCCATTTGTTGCCTTAGCCACCCACCCTCTGGGGAGTTGAAACCAGAAACAGGGAAATAATGGGCATTTTGTAATAACTTCTTCTGTTTTCTGTCCCCCACCAGGGAATCTCAGGGATTAACTGGGGAATAGGTCAGAGAATGACAAGTAGATATTTCCCAAATCTGTTTTCTAAACCCCTAGGACCCCAACATAGTTCATCAATCCACTCACCCCCTAACCTAACCTATTTTATTGCTTACCCAATGATCAAGATATAAATAACATTTTATGTATAAAATTATCTGGATAGAAATTATTCACTAAATGTACACATGGCCTAAGCAAGCTGGAAATATTTAATTTATTACCTATGATTTTTTAAAATATTTGAATGAATACTTACTATGTTTCCCAAATTTAGAAAAAAACATACTCGGTGACAAAAGTTCATTTTCCATCCCACCTGAAACTACATTTTAAAGAATCACTGGCCTCCAAGTGAAAAGCTTTGGTTTCTAGGCCACTGTTCTTTCCCTGGGCTGAATGAGTTTGACATTTCTCCAGGCAAATGGGTGAAGTCCAGCAACCATTTTATCAGAGAACACTTCCTTGTATGATATTATTTAAATCCTGCTTACTCATCCGTAGCTAAGGATTGATCAGATGGTGGTGACGAGGATGACGACAGTGGCAGTGAAGTGGTAAACTTGTGTTAAGTCCATTACCTACCATAGCAGATGAGTGCATAGTACTTGGAGTAGTCACTGAAACTTGCTGTGTAATATTGGCACCTTTCTTGCCTTAGATGGCAGGTAATACACTTCTTGCTTGGAGGATAGCTTCCAATGCTAATTCTAGAGAAAAATGAAAATAAATTCAAAATTTAAGATTGTATTTATCAAAATGTACTAATGCACTATAAAATGACTAATTTACATATTGACATCAAACCCACTCCATTTTTCTGGTGCCAATGTCATTTAAAGTGAAGGGGAGCCCAGCCAGTGTGGCTCAATGGTTGAGCATTGACCTAGAAACCAGGAGGTCACCAGTTCAATTCCTGGTCAGGACGCAAGCCCAGGTTTCTGGCTCGATCCCTAGTAGGGAGCGTGTAGGAGGCAGCCAATCAATGTTTCTCTCTCACGGATGTCTCTATCTCTCTACTCCTTTCCCTTCCTCTCTCTCTCTAAAAGTCAATAAAAACATGAAAAAAATAAAGTGAAGGGGAATTCTTAGCATTCGGATGTAGCCTGATTTTCAATTTTTGCCTGAATAGGCACAAGCCTCAAGGGAGAAGCCCCCTGTGATTTCCTTGGGTGGGGGAAGTATCTAACACCTCGAATGGGCATGAGGTGATCACTTCTCATAGCCATTCATCTCTCACACTCCACAAAGTGATTGGGAATGCATAGCTCTTCCTCTTCCCACCTCTCTTTTTGTATTCCCACCAGCAAAACATACCAGGGGAATCTGTTCTTACCATATAACTGGAAGGAGAAATTACTAACAAGCAAATTGGAAATGAGAAACCACACATCATGTTCCTCCTGTGCCTTTCATTCCATGAGGCAGGACATTTGGGCCCAGGGAAGCTCTTCCTGGGAATGCTCCCTCCACACATTTCTACACAAGCCAACCTGTACCTACCATGCTGGGCCCACTCTCTCCTCGGCAGAGGCCTCTGCGTGGTTTCTGAATGGGGTGATTGGCTCTGACATACAGACTCCCAGATCCTGTCAGAATTCGAGTCTTTTATAATTTGGTGGAGACTAGGTGGTATTATGCCAGGATGGAGGCAGGGTCATAAGCACAGCATGGATGGTAAGGTCTCCTGTGGCCTCCACAGTGTTCCTTCTGCTGCTTCCCCTGACTTTGCCTTGGGTAGAGGATGGCCAGAGGCATTGCGAGCTCCATAGAGGGATTCTCCCCAACCCCAACCAATAAGGAGCCAAGATCCAAGGGGGAACAGAGGAACAGATGAATACAGCAGAGTGAAAATGTCTTATTTTCTCAGTTACGGTTAATATTCATGTTCATATTTTGGTGTGATCTGGGAAATGTGAGGTAGGCTGCTCACAGTAAGGGGTCAGGTGTAGCTTGCCCAGGTACAAATCCTGGCTTCAGCAATATCACCTGCCTCTTAGAGTTGTTGTGGGAGTTAAGATTAATATATAAAGCAGTAAGAAGGTACCTGGCAAATAGCAAACTCACCAGCCTACAGTTACTGTTGTTTTTACTCCACATCCAGAAGGGGCTGTTGAGGGCACCTTCCAATCATCAGGGCAACCACTGGACCAACTTAAACACTAATTAGGAACGAAGATGAACTCCTTCCAATCACAGTAGGCTTATGCCAAAGTGAATGATGTTAAAAGAAGTCACACATAATGGAAATAAATACAATAGGTACTTAATACATGAGTGTAAGTGGATAAATGTCTTCAATTACCAGTAAATTTAGTTAAATTATTTAGCATTATGTTTACATCTGCATTAAAATTTCATGATTTTTCTTTTTGAAAACAAACATTTGAGTTAGCTGATATTTTGGGGCTATATAACTTTATACTGATGTAGTGCAAAACATTCTCTGAATGCTTTATCTCAATTCACAAGTTATTCCTACTTCATTTCAGGCTTTTAAATTCTATATATTCTGAGGATCATGACAGATTTTATTCAAATATCAGTATAGAAATTTCTAAACTGAATTGACATAAATTACCTGTAGATATTTCTTCTTCCAGGGACACCTTCAAATTCATTGCTAGAATAAAACCTGAAAGATATTCAGAAGTTATTAAATAACTACCAATAACTAAATGGTAATAAGATTGTTGGTACTAATTCTGATATATTAAACAATGCAGTCCAATGTTCATCTAAACTACTATATTAATAGACAATAAATGAATGATTAATTTGTAAACTAATACTAAATAAAGTATTAATAAACAGTTCATGAAACTGTTTACTGATTGACACTTATATTCATAAATCTCTACTGTATAACTGAATTTTGTGTGCTTATTCTGACTTTCAATCATAGAGGATTAAATTAAGCAGAGTACTCTTTTATTATAGGTACTACAGATCTGGTGCACGAAAATTCGTGCACTGGTGGGGTTCCCTCAGCCAGGCCTGCACCCTCTCACAGTCCGGGAGTCCTCAGGGGATGTCCTACTGGACATCCTGGTGGAAGCGGGCCTAAGCCACAGTCTGGCCTCCCTCTTCAGAAAACAACCAGGCCAGCTGATCAAGGGACGGCACCGCCCGTATCACCCCGCTGCTGCCGCCGGGCCTCTCTCTGTGGGAGGCAACCAGATGGCCGATCAGGGGATGGTGCTGGCCTCCTCCATCACCGTTCCCTCCCTCTGCCTGCTGGCACATGCCTTGGCTGGCCTGGCGCTGCCTGCTCACTGGCCCTGTCCCCCGCTGACTGGTCATTCGGCCGTTCAGTCGATTTGCATATTACTCTTTTATTATATAGGATATTATATTCCATTTCACTAGCTCTGAGCCACAAAAAATAAACTAAGATATTTGATTAATATCACCCATTTCTTTTTCCATGATTAACAGTTTATTGGTTTCTCTATGCTATATTATTTAATTTTGTCTATTATTCTAAACACATTCGAATTTACTTTACAGATGCCCTGACAATACATAGGTTTGCTATAAACCAGGAAACTCATCCACACTGGGGTTCCACACAAAGGAGCATGTTAATTTACCCAGATGCAAAACAACTCGCAAGAAAACATACTTGCTACTTAAGTATCTGGGTCCAGTTCTAACCTGTCTTAATACAGCCATGAGGTGGTAAAGCCAATTTCACAGCATGATTTTCACTCATCTGGGAGTGAGTTCATCTGACTACTACAAAGTAACTGTCTTGTTTTTTGTTTGTTTGCTTTTTGGAAGACCATAATAGGGTGTGAAAAGTTTAGAATAACCAAGGTTTGGTTACCACTTTTTAATTATCAGGACTATTCCGCAGCCCGGGTACTTTTCTGTCCTTACTCTCATAAAAGTCTTATTATTCCCAAATAAAAGGAAAAGGCAACATGATACAGCTCACTCACAGTGTTAAATGTATCCGTCTACATGTCTTTCCTAACTTCACATGACTCCAATCATCACTTGCACTTGCCTTTCCCACATCATCTCAAATTATTTGTGAATAAACTACTCAGAATCTTTTCCAAACAGCCCCCTGCCGTTTTCTGATGTCAAAGGTTTCACAACTGTCTTCATCTCTGACACTTGCCACAGCATCCACATCCCTCTTCTTGTTCCCTTCTCCCTCACAGCCACTAATTCACCACTCCTGCTCAGCCTCCATCTGTCTTTCCTGTCTATCTATCTATCTCTCCTCTCATTCATTTAACAAATATTCATTGAACTCTGGCTCTGTGTCAGGCACTATGCCAAGTGTCAAGGATGAAAAAAAAAGGAAGAAAGAAAGGCATCGTTTTCCCCTCAAAGAGTCTGTATTTCACTGCCACTATGCTAGTTCATGTCTCTGTCACCTCAGGCCTAGATTATGACCATACTTGGGTCTTCCTGCCTTCAGTTTCCCCCTACCATCTGAACATATCATGTCTGAAATCCCCCATCTGTTTTATCTTGCCACTCCTCTTACGCTGGTGATTTTAATGGCTGCTCCATATAATGTCTAAACTCCTTTGCTGACTGTTCAAAGAATTTCATGGATTGGCAACAGTTTCTTGCAGGTTTCAGCCAGTGAGCCTGAACTAATGGTCCTCCTCTTTGCTTTTAGAATTCCAGCTAATGGTAAGCAGATTATGGCAGAGTACCCTGGATTTGGACCTTATAAGGAGTGAGGAAAAGGAACCAGACATTCTTGATTACAGAAGTTTGACCACAAATGACTATTTTAAGGCGGTTTATTTAGACTGTATGCAGGATGGACCGAAAAGGAAAGAAGTCCCGTGTTGAGGATAACAATAAGAACATTAGGTTGAATGTGTTCTAAGTTTGAATCCTAGCTTTGCCACTAACTATGTGGTCTTGGCCAAGTTAAATTTCCGAGTATTGGTTTTCTTATCTGTAAAACTGGGATAATCATTTCTACTTTACAGCATGTGGTACACAGTAATTGTTCAATAAACTATAGGTGTTACAGATAATAACAACTTTAAATAGCAGTGAATCACTACAAAAATATTTTCTATGTACGGGTTGCCATCAGTGGATTTTTCAAGCTTGCTCATTGCTTCAGGTGCTGAAGCGTAAAACTTGTCTTTAGAACCAGTTATTACTTTTTAAATTTACACTTTTATATAGTTACCTATTGCATATCAGAAAAGAAATGACCACCTACCATATATTCTTTCCTAGTTGTTATAGAAATGCAGTCTTAAGGAAAGCACAGCTGTCTGAACTAAACTATAGAGTAAATAACTAAAATGCTCTTAACAGAAAGAAGTGGTGCAGGATCTCTTGTACGTCCATTGGCTAATTAAACCCTGATTGGGGCAACACGCTTCATGCAATACTTACAGTGAATCCTGTGTTATTCTGAATATATTTATGGCCTCCCACTTGCCACTTGTAATTTGAGTAGCGTTTTCCTATAAAAAGACAAACATTATGTGGTGTGAAGCTGAGCATTATTTGAGCAACCTCAAGTGAATGATCTTTGAGGAGATAAATATTCAAAGGAGCGTACCACGGTGTCTTTGATATAGTGAATATGTTTGTAGCCATCCTTGTCGCTAAATATTTTGTAGTATGAAGTGGAATCATAGCTGAACACTGGTGTTGAAACAAAGAACTGAAAAAGAAAAGGTTATGTTCAAAAGACAAACCAAACTAAAACTATTGATTTTTAAAAAGCAATATGTATAAGAACTAGAACACCTCCCCCCATACCCCCACCTTCTGTCACTCAGATCTGGAATTCCATTCTTTTAGGTAGGTGGTTTTTCTAGTGATTTTAGCAGGCACTTGTACATTCCAACCACTGTTTAATTGCTACTACAAACCCCTGGGTTTAAAATGTTAAATTTGATTGAGTGTTTAATTTGTATGTTCTGAGACTATGTGATGGACTGGAAAGGAAAGAAAGTTGAAAGAATCACACATGAATGTTGATATTTAACCAAGTCAGTCTTCAAAATGTGGTATTTGACTAAAATGTGGACTCTTATGAAGGCTGATAGCCCCTTTAATTCTTGATATGTATGATGCCAAGTACCTAATGCCAGTGATTCAATGAAGACATTTGAAATATTAAATATCATGGCCTGCTAGCCACAGTTTTAGGGAGAGACTTCTGGCTAGAGAGAAAAATGTTACCCAGGACAAGCAAGTGGGGGATTTAGTTCTTGAACTTGGGGAGCAGAGTAGATCTCATTAGCATCCCTGACTTCTTTGCAGGGACCCTGCTGGGCACCCCTTAATGACCTAAGGAGTCTCTGACACTCAGTTCTGGTGTGCCCTGGAGCAGGGCGGGCCACAAGTCAATATCCTGAATGGTACAGATAACTAAAATCCTGCCAAGGTCCTCACACCCAATTTTAGCTGGTAATTACTCCCATTAAAAATGTAGGCTCATCTTACATTTGCTGGTATATTTACAGTTCTGGTCAGCGGGTTTTGAAATGGCAGTAAAGTGGTGAAAGACCTACATGACCGAGGTGTTACTCTACATCACTCAGGGTCTGTATTCCCACAGATAATCCAAAACCAGCTCTCTCTAGCCCCGTGCTTTCATATGGCTGTGAACATGATGCTCAACTCCTGTAGAACTGACCAAGCAACAACAGCCAAATGACTACAGTATCTTTTAGCTACAGACACCGATCCTGCTGACACCCAGCCTGGAACTCCCTTTTGAGTAAGAACATAGGGAAAGTTGATGTTTGCTACTTTAGTGATGGTCCCGTGTATGATCTGATACTTGATGCTTTTGATAAAATTGAGTATGATTACGTGAATTTTCAAATGCAATTTATTTGACATGGTACCTGTAATATTCTGAATAGTCTTCCCTAAAATTCATTTCCATCCAGACTTCAGAAGGGGACTATTAGAGACTGAATATTTCTCCCAAATTCATATGTTGAAACCTTACCCCCCACAAAGATGGTATTAGGAGGTAATTAGGGTTAGATGAGATCATAGGGTTGGCGCTCCCATGAATGAGATTAGTACCCTTATAAGAATCACCAGAGAGCTTGCTTGCTTCCTTTGCTCTGCTCTCTGCCACATTAGGATACAAGAGGTGGAAGTCTGCAACTGGAAGAGAGTTTTCACCAGCATGTGACTATGCTGGACCCTGATCTCGGACTTCCAGTTTCTAGAAGTGTGAGAAATAAATTCCTGTTGTTAATAAGCCACCCAGTCTATGGCACTTTGTTGAAGCAGCCCAAACCGACTAAGACAATGACACTATTTAAAACTAGTCTTTACAGATGTAATCAAGGTAAGAATCAAGATGTGAGACTGGATTAGGGTAGGCTCTAAACCAGTGATGGCGAACCTATGACATGCGTGTCAGAGGTGACACGCGAACTCATTTTTTTGGTTGATTTTCCTTTGTTAAATGGCATTTAAATATATAAAATAAATATCAAAAATATAAGTCTTTGTTTTACTATGGTTGCAAATATCAAAAAAATTCTATATGTGACACGGCACCAGAGTTAAGTTAGGGTTTTTCAAAATGCTGACACGCCGAGCTCAAAAGGTTCGCCATCACTGCTCTAAACCCAATGACTAGTGCCCTCATAAGAAGAGAAGAGGATGCAGAGATACAGAGAGATATGGAGAAACAGAGATTGGAGTGATGTAGCTACAAGTTCAGCACATCCAAGGATTGCCAGCAGCTATCAGAAGCTGGAAGAGGCAAGGAAGAATTTTTTCCTGGAACTTTCAGAGGGAGCCAGGCTCCACAGACACCTTGACTTTGGACTTCTAACCTCCAGAATAGTGAGAGAATGAATGTATGTAGTTTTAAGCCACCAAGAGTATGGTAATTTGTTACAGCAGCCCCAGGAAACTAACAGTGTCCTAAGTCATCACTTTGGCATAGAAATTATAAATCTTTAACAAAATGAAAATGGAATAATGAGAAAATGTGGTTTCCTTGCACAAACCTCTTATTAATTTCATTAATAAGACCAGCCTTGGTAGCATTTTGTGTATTGAGACTAGTGCCTCTAAGTGAAATTGAGAGCCAAGAGTCCCAAGAATAGGAAATTCTGATTTGCAGTTTTGTGGACAGAATTTCATTAGTGTATGTCTCACAACAATCATTCTCTTACTCTAGAAAAAAATTATGCTTTTTTTTTAAGGAAATGATGTTATACCTAGTAGTAACCACTTTACAATGCCTCCCTCTCACTCCTCAGGGTAAAAGTAAAAATCTGGCTTTACGTTGTCTTAACTGCTAAAATGGAACCGGGATCACAAAATATTTTAAGGTGCTAGAGTAAAACTATATTCTCCTCACACCTGCAGTTAGTTGAGAAACTTCGGGGAAAACATTTGTCCTAGATTAAAATTTAAGATTTAATTTTCACACAAAAAAATAATAACAGGGTAGAGTGTTATGTTTTTAAGATACTAGAATCAAGCAAACAGGAAGAATATTTTTTGCTAAGTAAAGACTGTTATCTTCTCCCCTTTTGCTGCACACATCAAAGACACCTACTTTAGATAAACAGGTAACTGGGGTGCAGTAAAGAGAGTGTGAAATATGTCCTCATTCACTTTGCAGGGCTAGGTCCACAATGCATTCTCATTTAAGTGCTTCTGGCAACAAGTCACATCTGGACCCTAGAAAATCACAGTTATCACCAGCCTCTTCACAGATCCCTTTATCTTGCTTAGATTTTCTGATAAATTACTCATCTCTATGTGCAAAGCCATTCAAAATACTTTACTTGGAAGGTAAGATTATTTACCACCAGATAATTTCTTGCTAAGGTTGGCAAATGATCTACTTACTAAGGCTAATGCCTGAACTGAGTCCACATGTAGTCAAAGCACAGACTTCCAAGCATCAAGTAGAAAATTTATTTTTCCAAACTGAGGGATTTGGCCAACAGTCTAAAGGAGATGTGGTGTATTGCTTAATTATTTTGAAATTATTTAAATGTGGCTTTGCAGTCTAAGCATTATGCTTTGTTCTCCCAAATTTAGTGGTTAAATACCAGATACATTGATTACATCCTCCTTTTTGTCTGTTTTCTATAAAGAGCAAAAAGAGATTTATTTAAAGTGAATTTGTTGTTATCTTTCTGATCAAATACAGAAAAACTTACACTATTTTTCCCAATTTCAGACACTGACTATCTCATGCTGGAGGAAAAAAAGTGATAAAGTTCTTAAGAAACTGTTTGCTAGTTTTGTGCCTGCAACTAAACAGGTCAATTTTAGCAAGTCAATTAATCTCACTTTTCTAGTTCTTAGGTAATCTCTGAAGGTCTTTTTCAGTTCAAAGCACTTTGATAAGTTCTAAAGGAAGAACTGCTCTGAAGTTACTCTTTAAATTTATATTAATAAGACCAGCTTGTACATTTTGTCCACAAACCTCATAAATATTACCTGAAAAAATATCAGAAAGACATATTTCTGGGTAATTTTATCAAGTCACTGGTTTAATTATTGTTTCAAGGAAGCTAAACAGCATACTAGGGCAAAGGAGCTATGACTATATGAAGTTGTGCCCTGTCTTTTTCTAAAAAAGATGTCTGAACCTATAAAATCTAAAGAATGACCTCTTCAAAGCAGTTCCCTTGGGAAAGTGTGAGCATACTTTTGAAAGCCATCATTGCAAAGAATTTTTGACAATTCCACTTCTGGTATTTTTAAAGTTTACTGACTACTGGATAAATTTTAAGATCTTGAGATTAGTCAATAAGAAAAATAATGTTTCCCAATAGAATTCTAAAGCTACAGGTATTAACATGATCTAGCACAAAATCATGTGCTACAGATACTTTATTTATTCACTAGATTTATTTTGGCAAGACTTTGGATTTAATATAAGAACCTCATCTTCCCTCAAAGAACACTTATGTCCCTCCACTGAAGGAATTTTTTAAAATATATTTTTATTGATTTCAGAAAGGAAGAGAGAGGGAGAGAAAGATAGAAACATTAATGATGAGATAGAATCATCAATCAGCTGCCTCCTGCATGCCCCATACTGGGGATAGAGCCTGCAACCTGGGCATTTGCCCTGACTGGGAATTGAACCGTGACCTCCTGGTTCACAGGTCAACACTCAACCACTGAGCCATGCTGACAGGGCACTGAGGGTATTTAAAACAGTGATCTATAGTTTTAGAAGGTTATTTATTTATTTATTTATCTATTCACCCATTCATCCAGCTAATGTTTGCTCTATAGAGTGTAAAAATTGATAAGATGCAAATATTTCAGAATGTTTTGAATGCTGGTACCATTTTCAGAATAAACGTATGGATTCCTAAAATTATGTCTTTGAGAAGGTTGTTGGTATCATTGTTTATCTATCTGTAAAATCACATCATTCATGCTACTTTATCGTAACCTTAGTTATATTATCATCATGGAGAACACAATGAAAGGAAGTTTCAAGTCTTCTCCCTTTCCCTCATTCTTTACTGGAAATCTTTATAATAGTAGTGAATTCATAGGTTAACTTTCCCTTTTCTTCAAGTTTTCAAGTGCTGGTGTAAGAATTGTCTTCCTAGAAGGCGAGCTTCTGATTAACCAAGAATCTAAAATATTTAAAAGATCCTATTCTTTTACTGAATATGCCTAATTTTTCCTGGGTTATTTAGTACAGTGACAAAGATTAAATTAAATAGGACTTTCCCGTTTTTCCCCCCGACTTATACTTATCCTTGTTACCTTGTTACTTTAGAATATATTTTACATTTATTGTATATAATTAATAAAGTAATAACTATTCTTTAGCTAATGAATATAACTGAAGACTGAGTAAACATATGCAAACTAAAATCATTGGATCTAGAAAAAGTGTTCAATAGAGTTTTTAATATCTAAAGATTTTTACTTTATAATTTACCTTCTCCTTACCCATTTTAACTTTGAATTTTTATGAGACTTATCATCTTAGAATTGACTTCTGAATTATTTGTTGTCCTTTTATTATGGGTTAATGTGTTAAATCAAGTCATAAGAGTTTCCTCTTTTATGAATGTGTCAAAATCTCAGAAAACATCGCCTTTTTAAAAACTCAAATGCTAGTTGAATTCAATCATATTTTTGTGTTAAGTTACAGTAAACTTGCAACATTCACTTATTCTGTCTTATTTTGTATTATTTATAGAGGATGTTAGATACAATTGATATTTTCCTAAAACCTATTTTTTCACAGTAAAAATCCCCATAAATCACTGAATAAGCTTATCCAAGTGATCACAAATCAGAACCAAACACACATCTTTTTATTTGTTATCACTTTGCTCAAAAACTAAAATGAATGAACATATATAAATGAATATATATACACATTCATTTTAGTTTTAAGCAATTTCAGTTTATAATAAATTAATTTCAGTTTATAATAAAATTTAATGAGAGTTAGATTGTCTCTAAATTTCAAAGGATACTCAATATATTTATTTTTCCTGAATTCAAATGGCTAATGATTAATAAGATAATTTTAGGCAGATCAGGGACTATGTTTCTTTTTAAAAAATGATCTTTATTGTATTTGTTTAAGAAGTAATATTAATTATCCATATCAGACAGTTCGTTGAAAAAGTTAAGGTTGGAACATGAAGAATATGATTGATTTGTTCTCAAAAGAATTCTAAATGTACATTAAAATTGTCTAGCACAAAATTGCTGAAGGGATCACTACCTTTATATTTTTTACCTTGATATTTTTTTCTATTGAAAAAGTACTGCCAGTTTGAATACATTTCAAATGGTCCTTTCATAGTTGAGAATCTGTTAAGTGTCATTAAAATATAAAGAAAAGATAGCAAAATCATACTCCACCAGCCCATCCTGTTCTGCTTTCTTCTATATGCTCCTGGGTCTAAAAGAAAAAAAAAAGATCATATAAAGCTTAGTGTTAGTAAGAGTGTTTTTTCTAAATATAATCTGGACATTTGAACCAGTTAAGCTGCCTCATCAGAGTGTACTATCAATAATCAACTAACTTCGCACTTGAGTTTAAGATGACTATATTAAAAATCTTATACAACAGCACTATTGCATGCACATGGATAATCTAAAGGCTGGATTTTATCACAAACCTTTAATAATTCTGGTTAAACTTTCTATGATACAGTGAATTATCACATCATCAATGAAGGCCTAGCAAAACCCAAGTACTTGGTGTCATATAGGTAAAAGGGCATATAGGGATCTTAATATTTGCACCGAATCTTATTTTGGTATACATTTTAACATGGTACAATCAATCACTTATTGAACAAATATTTAGTAAGCCTAAGAAAATGAATAGGCTTTTCTAGACCAATAATTAGAGAAAGAACATTCTAGGTAGAATGAACAGTGTAGAGATGAGGCCAGCTTAGTAAACTACAGGTGATTCAGTGTGCTGAGTGAAGGGTGACTAAGGGAAAGAGAAGATGAGGGAGGATCCAGAGGTATCAGCAAGATCTCTGAGAAACTTTTATGCCACCCTAAGAAGTTTAAATTTCTCTTGGTAAGTCCTTTGAAGGATTTCAAAACCACAATTTTGAAAACACAATTGTGAACATGATACAGAAAATAGATCAGAAGTGGGTAAGATAGAAGGATGCAGACAGATTGGTTGGATGGCTACTGTATTGTTTGGAAAAGGATGACAAAGACTCAAGTCTAGTTAGCAGTAGTAAGGATGGAGCAGAGAAGATGTTGTCAAAGATATTTAAAAGTTCAAATCCGCAGAAAGAATTAACAACCATTTCTTCTTCTTCTTCTTTTTTTCCCCCTCATCCGAGGATATGTTTTTCGTGTGTGTGTGTGTGTGTGTGTGTGTGTGAGAGAGAGAGAGAGAGAGAGAGAGAGAGAGATGGGTTGTCTCTCATGCACACCCCCACTGGGGACTGAACCCACAATCTGAATATGTGCCCTGACTGGAAATCAAACCAGCAAACTTTTGGTGCATGAAATGAGTTATTTTTTACTAGGATGATAGCAAGACTGTATTGCCCAGGCCTTCTTCAGGTTGGATGTGGTCATGTGATAAATTCTAACCAATTGTGTGAAAGCAAAAGTGACTCATGCTGCTTCTAGGCCTAATCTATAAAAACCTCTTGTTACCTACAATCCTCTATTCTTTCCCCCCAGCCCCCAGATGGATGTTGATGATCAGGTTTGAATAGCCTTGGACTAGCCTAGGTAGTCACTGGATGAAGATAGCAGAAAGATCATCAACCTGAGTTCCTTACTGACTGTGTGGAGCAGAGCACCCCATCCTCCATCCCCTCACTAGTCCCCAGTTACTTAGATTCACTATTAGGTGGGCACATAAATGTAAAAAAATTATACTCTATTAATCCAATGGATTATTGGAGGTATTTTGTTGTTGTTATTGCTGTTGTTATAACAGTTAGCCTACCTTGCAAATATATTAACTTGGAGAATATTAAGGTTTCTAGAGAAGTCAGAAGAAGAGCTAGAAAGGAAAAGAAGAATCAGTGAAGTAGAAAAAGGATCATGAGAAAAGTACTGTCATAAAAAGCTAGGGAATAGTAAATTTAAAAAACAGTTTGGATTTTCTCTTATAGGATAGGCCAGTGCCTCTGAGAGAACAAGACTTGAAAAAATAGTGAAACATTTTGACACATTACTTTTAGCCATAAAGATAAAATTAATTTTTATCCCCTTTTCAGAGAATAAAGAATATGAAAGATGTTCCTCCCCCTAGTTATAAATTTCTTAATAAATCTTATTAATATAATTCTAATAAAAGTATTGCCAGTTTCCTTTGCTTCTTTGTTTTTGGTATGACTTCCAACATGAATAAAATGTTGCCAGATCAATTAATCTTAAATGGTATTTGTTTTAAACACACACACACACATCAATCATGAGTCTGGTTGCTGGAAAATTTAATACTCTGTTGTTCTTAAATTTAAAAATGTGTTCCATGTAATTATCAGATTATTTTGAAAAAGAGGTTGTTTTGAAATCCCAAGGTTATTCAAACCTGGTATTCTAAATGTAATCACTGTTTTTGGGCCATTAACTAAAGTTTATATTCCAGGTAATTCCATATCTTAGTGAACAAGCATCTATATGTTCTGTCAGTTTGGATTAAAATAGTCTCGGGTTTTAATAAATTAGAATTTCATATTCCAAAGCAATCATAGTTTTTAAATGCCTAGTTTTAATAACTAAAATGGTATCTAAATGACCAATTTTATAGTTTTAAACTAACAAAATTAAAACTATAATTTCTAACACCCAGATTCAATGAAAATGTCAAAGCTGACTAATCAGACCAATGGTTTCTAATTAACCAGCATAATCCAATTTATTCTCTCTTTTTGTGTGCGTGTATGACACTACATTAAGGCCAACATCTTTCTGCTTTGTATATCAAAATATAAATAAGATAAAAATAAACTCCTAGCATATTCCATCAAAATTAGTTAAGCTTATTGCAGACATAGTAGTGATTTTTTTAAAAAAAATATTTTTTAGCCTGAGTAACTTGACCATTATAGTCCTGATGTATTTCCAAACAGATTCACATGACTTTTTTCTTGCAGAACATAATGTCTAATTTCTAGATAGAATTCAGTGATTTACTTTGATTGCTCTGTGCTTTTATTCTTACTTTACAAAATAGGTTTATCCTATATTTGGTTTAATGAAACATCTTTTTATAATTAGAAGTCTCATGAAATGTACCCATCAAATTTCCTATTTAAAGAAAACATTTTTGCATTTCTTAGTCTCTAATGTGAGTACTTATGAACAAGCTGATTATAAAGCTTTTAGATTGGTGAAGTAGTTTTCTGACTCATTAATTCAACAGATTATGTTTGGATTTGAGCAATAGAAACAATTAAAACTCAACAATAAATCTGTGCCTAGTTTTCACATTTTTTTCTCCCTAAAATTAGCACAGTATAAAGAACTCTGCTAAGATAGGATTGCAAGACAATTTGATCTAATATTTTACCTCATATTTGCAGTTATCTACTTTTGATTTTAAAATGGGAATATTTGGCTTTCTTGATCTTCATTTCCTTTATAATTTTTATTCTTCAACTTTGACATTGAATAGAATGTGCCACCATTTGCATGTTATCTCAGTTCTTTTGAACAGAATGTATATTTCCCTAATAAACCCAGCTTATCTTTTCATCTTCATTGTTTTGCTTTTTTGGACTGTCAGTTTTGTAATATCAAAAGTATGAATTTCCATCCTAATACAGAACTAGATACTTGATTTTTCCAATGTTATTTTCCAAATAACATATTATTTGATTTAGTTTTTTCTTTATTCTAAACAAAGGCTAAAATTATTCAAAGGCTAATATTATTTATTTAATAAAAAAAAAATGACCCTGCAAATAGGGAGTGTTGTTTTGTTGTTTGTTTGTTTGTTTTTTTGTTTTGCAAAGCAATCCAGAGTTGGCTGCAGTAATTCTGGCTTTATAATATAAACTAGAGGCCCAGGGCATGAATTCATGCATGGGTGGGGTCTGGCCAACCTGCCCTGATCAGGGCCAATTGGGCCAGGCCATCCAGGGAGGAGGGGACTTGGGAAGTTGGCCAGCCGGCGCCGCCCCCTAGTTGAACTCCTGGTTGAGGGGACAATTTGCATATTAGCCTTTTATTATATAGGACTAAAGGCCTGGTGCACAAAAATCTATGCACTCGGGGGGGGGGGTCCCCCAGCCAGGCCTGTGCCCTCTCGCAGTCTGGGACCCCTCGGGAGATAACGACCTGCTGGCTTAGGCCTGCTCCCGGGTGGCAGAGGGCATGCCCAATCCCTAGGTGCAGCCCCTGGTCAGGCTCAGAGCAGGGCCGATTGGGGAGTTGGGGCACCTCCCCCTGTCATGCACAGAGCAGTGTGGATCAAGAGGTTGCGATAACACCCTCAGTCACATTCAGGGTAGGGCTGATTGGGGGGTTGGGGTGCTGCCCCCTGTCACTCACAGAGCAGGGCCCATCAGGGGGTTGGGGTGCTGCCCCCTGTCACTCACAGAGCAGGGCCCATCAGGGGGATTGGAGCTCCATACCCTGTCACACACAGAGCAGGGTCGATCAGGGGGTTGGGGAGCTCCCCCCTGTCACGCACAGAGCAGGGCCGATAGGGGAGCTGGGGCACCGCCCCCTGTCACACACAGAGCAGGGTCGGATCAGGGGTTGGGCACTGCACCCTGTCACACTCAGGGCAGGGCCAATGGGGAGGTTATGGCTCTACCCTGTCACACACAGAGCAAGGCCCGTGGAGGGGGGTTGGGGCGCCACCCTCTATCACCCACAGGGCAGGGCCGATCAGGGGGTTGGGGCGCCGCCACTGTCACACTCAGGGCAGGGTCGATGGAGAGGTTATGGCTCTACCCTGTCACACACAGAGCAAGGCCTGTGGAGGGGGGTTGGGGCGCCACCCTCTATCACCCACAGAGCAGGGCCGATCAGGGGGTTGGTGCCCCGCACCCTGTCAAACACAGAGCCGCAGGGCAATCAGGGGATTGGGGAGCTCCCCCCTATCAGGCGCAGAGCAGGGCTGATCAGGGGGTTTGGGCGCTGCCCCCTGTCATGCTGATCCCGGTGCCGGGAGCCTCGCTGCTCTGCTGATCCCGGTGCCGGGAGGCATATTACCCTTTTACGATATAGGATAGAGGCCTGGTGCATGGGTAAGGGCTGGCTGGTTTGCCCTGAAGGGTGTCCTGGATCAGGGTGGGGGTCCCCACTGGGGTGCCTGGCCAGTCTGGGTGAGGGGCTGAGGGCTGTTTTCTGGAAGCGGGTGACTGAAGCTCCCAACCGCTCCTTTTTTTCTTTTTCTTTTTTTTTATTCTGGGCCAGCTTTAGCTCTGAGGCCTCACTGCTGAAAACATCGATACAATGTTGCGGTCCGGCTGGCTGAACCTGGCTGACTGAAAGCCGGTTTCTGGGGTTTTGTTTAGCTTCTTATTTGCAACATAGTACATAGTTGCTTAGAGTTGCAGCTGAGAGGCCGGCAGCGGCAGGCGGGGAATGTTGGAGTTCGCTGTCACTGGAGCAAGCAAGCCTCCCTGCTCGCTTCAGTGCATGGCTGCCAGCTGCCATCTTGGCTGACAGTTAATTTGCATAAGGATATGTTGATTAGCCAATGGGAAAGGTAGCGGTCATACGCTAATTACCATGTTTCTCTTTTATTAGTGTAGATGTTGGCTATAAATAAGTCCCCACTCTTGAACTTTTTTCAGAAAGACACCTTTGTTTTAATAACCTACCTTTGGACAATTCCATGTCTGCCAGCCTTCATTGAAATCACATATAGACAAGACCGAAACATTCTGAATTCTTTTTAGCCACTGCACGCATATTCGTTCATCAGTAACCCACGTGAGCCAACTGAAATAATAATCACTGCAAATAAATTGAAACCGACTGTCACAACCACAAACCAATATCACATTCAAGTAATTTTTTAATTTCTGTTTTCTAAAGGATCTATTTTATTATTATTACATTAAATACTTATTCCATAGATAAGGAAGGCAAAATGTTCCCTTTCTGCTGAGTAAGTTTAATATACCTGCTGACTTTTAAAGACTATCTATAAGAGTTCATCCATCTAATGCAATTATTATTTTACTTGAGTTTGCTCCCCATTTTGGACTTTTATATTTTAGAAAAGAATTTAAGACATAAAGCCAAAGCTACTGGTCAATGTGTAGGAGAAAAAGCATTAAATTAGCTATTATGCATAGGTAAACTCAATTTTTGCTTATAGTGCATATACTCATCATTAACTCACTAGAAAAGAAATCTGAGCACTGATTAAGAAATTGGTATTAAAATACCATTTCAACGGAGGAAAGCATCTGAGATGAATATACCTTGAGGCTATCATTGCTGGAACTGGCACTTCTATGGGACCTACATACTCAGGGTAAGTGGTATCGACAATAAATATCCGAACAACAGGATTCTTAGCTCCAGCCTGACAAGAAAATAAAGATAGATCACCTCATAAAATTCTCATCATCACCAACATTTGAAAGACATTTTAAGAATTTAGGCATGTTTTTATAAGATAAAAATATTAAGTATATTTCTGTTGAAAAAAATATAATTATAACATGACCAGGGATTTTATTTCAATTTTACTTGCGGGGCAATTAAAAATACTGTGTCAATTAGTGTGAAAACATATTTTAAGTGATTAATTAAGAAGCTTTGATTCATAGAAAAAATATTTTGGATATAGTTCTGTAATCGATATTCTCTTTTCTGATTTTTAAGGCAGATTATTTCCCATTTATGATGATGAAGATAATTATTATCATTATTATCATTTCTCCCTCTGTTAGGGAGATTGCGGTTGGGAAGCAAGTGTAAAAATACATAGTGAAAGATACTTTTTGCTTTTACCCTATAATTTGGTCCAAACAATCACCAAACAGTCTCCTAGCTGGTTACATTACTACTGCTACCATCCCTCCAAACTTAGGAAAGTTTCATCCCCAAATATGGAATTTATAATTTTCTTGTTTTGTGTTTTCTATGCTGTTATACACCCTAAATATATATGACAGTATAGTTCACACCCAAACAGCTTCTTATAGTTTCTCTGTTATTTTACCACAGGAAAAGAGAATCTTGTAATTGTTAAATAACTTAAATCAACTGTTTGGCCAGTAGTCTTAAATGACTCTGTGCTGTTTGGATTTATCTAAGGACTGTGCACGTTTTCCTCTGACCCCCTGTTTTACTGAAGGCTCAGCTGGAACTTCTTGCTTCTTCCAACTAGTCTCACCTCTCAGTCCAAAGTCAGATGATTTAGGAACTTTAGTCTTCAAAGAAACATGGGAATTTGGGTCCTAACTTCTCTGTCAGTGCCAGTTACTCCTCAGTTCTTCATCGCTTCCTGCTCCCTTTCACCCTCTTAAAGATCCAAGTCCTTTTACATCACGGATCCCAAGTATTACACCTCTCGCTTCCAAACATCTCCAGCTTCCAGACTTTATAGTCAGCCCTTGAGAGGTCTCCTACCTAAACACTCATCTCTATTCCTTAATGTTTCTCCTACGACTTTAAAGTGAATTTTAAACTGTGTAACATTTCTATTTCTGTCGCTATGGCCACTTCAGAATCTGCTAGTGTGTAGGAATATCCATCTCATCTCTGTCACATAGGGACCCACTGGGTCCATCCATGGCAGTGTCCCCTGACAAGTAAAAACAATCGGGCCGAAACCGGTTTGGCTCAGTGGATAGAGCGTCAGCCTGCAGACTGAAGGGTCCCGGGTTCGATTCCGGTCAAGGGCATGTACCTGGGTTGCGGGCACATCCCCAGTAAGAGATGTATAGGAGGCAGCTGATGGATGTTTCTCTCTCATCGATGTTTCTGACTTTCTCTCTCATCGATGTTTCTGACTCTCTATCTCTCTCCCTTCCTCTCTGTAAAAAATCAATAATATATATATATATATTAAAAAATGGGGAGGAAAGGACATTGTGCTACTTTCTAAAATCACTTTCACTCCTTGTGCAAGAGGAGAATTTGTGATTTGATGTCCTTTCAGACTTATTGTCTAATTAAATTAGGACATGATGTTTTCCACTGAGACCTGGCCATTCTCCAACTGCACATACAGGTCTCTCCAGACATGGGAATGAATGAAAAGTATGTACACTAAGACTTCTAGAATGTTTATGCAAAAGTCTTTGGGCTCACACCCAGTCTAATTCACTCAAGGCTCACAAATTTAAGCTACCTTTTATGTCCAGAAAAGAGCATAACTCATGCTTGCTTCTACCTGACAGGAACATCAAGTTCAACATTTGTATTCCCCATTCAAGCTTGCATGTACATGGGAATTCAAGAAGGAACTGCAAAACAGAACTTTACCCTGAATTCGGAGCATGAAATATGAAAAAATTAAATTTAAGTTAAGCTTGTTTTTCCTCCATGATCTAGACCATATGTTTTTCAAAGCTTCTGCAATAGAATTTAGCAAAGACGACTTCATCCAGCACAACCAGATGTCCAAAGCAACAGATGTCCACATAAATAATAGATCACAGTACAATGTTTGCTTCACAATGCACAAGGATAAGAAGCTCTCCAAACTTGTTGATCCCACCTCTCTTCATAGTATTGGTTGCTCATTTTGACACCAGGGAAATAGAAGCATCTGCTAAAAATATTCAACATACCTTTGGGTATGGAATATTTATTGTCCTAGGATATTGCTCATCACCATAATAGGAATAGGCAATCACTGGGATTTCTGTATCATTAAACTCTGCATATGCCAAAAATTTTCCATTCGGAGACCACCAGAGAGCATATTTTGTAGCAAGCATTTCCTCTGAAAAATAAATACTAGTATATTAATTATAATTGGAGCTTACTCTTAAAGCCATTATAAATATTTTAAAATACATTGTATATATCAATTATTGCCCAAAATAATTTATTTAATGTAGATGTGATATATGTCCTACTTTGGTTTTTAAAAGATAAATAATCTGGTTTTAGAGGAATAGTTTAGCATTATACCCTTTATCAAACAGTCTTCTTAGGATTTGACATTAATCAGAAATGTAATTTTAAAATAAATAATAAACATATTAACAGGAATTAATTTTTCCCTTTGGGGCAACTTCTGGTTCTTATAGTCACCTAAAATAGCCAAAACAAGGAAACTGTAATTATGCTACAGAGTAACATACACATTGAATGTTGACTTTCTCTCCTGGGAATATTATTTTTTTTTAAAAAAACAGTTAAGTTATATATTTATTTAATAAAAAGTAAGGACCAGAAAACCTTTTAAAGTCCAGTTATTTCCTGGATCTTACAGAACCTAGAAAGAGGACAAAATTCACAAAAGTATAACAAATTAAGGATATTTTCCTACAAAATAATATAAACAGTTGTTTAGTTTTGGAAAAAATATTTCTTTCTTAAGAAAAAACAAACCTGAGAAAATGAACTAACACAGCATTTAAGGACCATAAACTTCTTGGAATATAAATTGTTACTACCACTTTATGATGCTCATTAAAAATAAACTCTACCAGTCTGATAAGATTTTGTTCTTTCAGAACATGCACGTCCTGTTCATAGCACAGATAACAGCTTTCAGAAATGCCACCATTCATCTCAGCAGCATAGCACTCATCTAAATGCTACTAAATGTATGCAATTATTTTCAATTAAAAGCCTAACACAGCAACAGTAGAAAGAAGAATACAGCTTACCTTCATAAACCCAGTCTGGGATTCCATTAAATATTTTATTTTCTTTCCCATTATATGTTATTTGGAAAGGTGGGTTTTCTGGTCTTTGTTTCAAATAGATATTGTTCTGATACACATATGCCTGAAAGTGGCGGTAAGCTAGTTAATACAGGGAAATTCCATAAGAAATACAATTAAGTCTGTATATTTGTGTTAATTATTGACCTAATGACTTTTAAAAGTGTAGCAATTCAGATGCAAAAAGACTCACAAGTACTATCTCACTTTAATAGGTCAAAAAACAACTTACTCACATTATCATCTGTTATGATTTTTAAAGTCTATGTCAAATAAAGAATAAAGTCTACTATTTTATTCGTGGTTTTATTACCCAAGTAAATAATTATATATATATTAACAGAAAGTAAAATCAATCTCTGAATATTAATAGCTAGCCAGATCTAATCTTTATTTAGAGTCCTTAAATAAGAGCTTGGACAAAATTTCATGTTGTCTGAAGCTAGTCTGGGAAACTTGTGAAAACCATATTTTTCCTGAGCTTTCTGGCACAACGCATTCTGGCTGAGTATAAGGATAAAGTTTCTGACTGAGATATTTAAAGAAGTCTATCCATGAGCTTGAGATTTTGCGGAATTCTCAGATGGGTTTCGATTTATCAAAACTCTTCTTGTTTTTAACCACTGAAAAATAGTAATACATTTATTTTTTTTTCCTTTTAAGCAAGGGAATTTACCAAAGGCCAAAATCAAATGGCTCCTCTTTTATTTAAAGGATTGAATACTTCTATAATTCAAACACTTACTAATTTACTCCCAATAGGTGACCAGCAAATATACTGAATTGGACGGGGAAGCTCATTTCTTCTTACAAAATCTCTAGAAGGAAAAAAAGACAGAAAGAAAAAACACACACAAAACCATGCTGCTCAATGCAAAAAATCTTTATAAACAGAAAAAATAAACAAACAATAAAAACGAAGAGTCATTCTCTCAGCTTCTTCAAACCTAATGGAAAGAATGTGGCCACTCGGGACTGGAGAGATGGGGTGGTAGTTGTAGCTCTTCACTAGTTACTTAGAAGTCATTTAACTTCTCTAGGTCTCCGTTTGCTGGCCTTTGTAGGGAGATAGTAAGTTAAAGATGTATAAACTGTGAAAGTGGGACTAGCTCTAGAAATGATCTAATGGAACTCCATTTTGTAGAAAATAAATGTGAGGTTAGAGAAATAGTAGGACTTTTAAAAATCACACTGTTAGTTCTTGGCAGAGGCCCAAATTAAACTCAAGCCTTTGGCCCTCTTTTGTACACACCAAGGTAGGATGGTCGCTGGAGTGCCTTCCTCTCTGACATTCTACAATGGTGCTGAAGTTTAATAAGCACTCTTGCGCATTCCCATTCACAACCCCAGCTCTGTGAATGCACATGCATTTCAAATTTTTGAAAATAAGATGCCATTTGACAATCTCCCCAGAGATCTGACTTGAAATCAGAAACAGAAAGGAACATCCGATCTAAGTTAAAATGAAAAACAGATTGTATACTAGGCAGTATGCCTTAAGCTTGCAAGTTCTACATCCATGGGGAAACTTCAAATATCCTCTTAGCCAAAAACCTCACTTTGATCCTTAGAGTCACCTTGCAAATTCTCAATGGACTGACTTGCTCTGGGGAGCTTTTGCACTTCTTCAGCAAGAATGTGTTCAGATTTCATGTATTAAAGACTCATAAGATGCCATGCTTCAGTTTTAATTATCTTCTTGGAGATACATATAAATAGTTTCATTTAGATTTGGAAGCAACCCAAGTGTCCATCAGTAGATGACTGAATAAAAAAGCTGTGGTACATTTACACAATGGAATACTACTTAGCCATAAAAAAGAAAGGGAATCATATCCTTTACAACAGAATGGATGGACCTGGAGAACATTATGCTATGTGAAATAAGCCAGTCAGAGAAAGACAAATACCATATGACTTCATTCATATGTGGAATCTAACAAACAAAATATAAACAGACTCATAGAGAACAGACTGATAGCTGTCAGAGAGGTGGGAGGGTTGGGGGACTAGGTGAAAAAGATGAATGGATTAAGCAAACAAACAAACAAACAAACAAATACCTCATAGAGAGACAAGAGCATGGTGATTACTAGAGGAGGAGGATGGGAGAGGTAGAAAAGGGTATAGGGGACTAAATGGTGATGGGAAGAGACTTGCTTGGAGTGGTGAGCACAATGCAATATACAGATGATGTCCTGAAAGCTATATAATTTTATTAACCAATGTCACCCCAATAAATTCAGCTAAAAAATGCTTTTGTGGAGACGCAAAGCAAGACCTACCCGGGGAACACTTGAAATCTTGCCCCTGGCATACGTTGTCAATTTGGCTCAAAAAACTCTTATAAAAGTTCTAAAAAAAAAAAAGAAGACCTACCTTCTAGGTGTAATGTGAGAGCCTGAAGAAAGACTCTTTCCTTCCCTCTCCAAAACAAATCTTCAACCTGGACCTAACATATACCTGATATTTCTACTTTTCTAACTTTTTTAAACTTTGGAAACTATGAAGCCTTATAATATACATTGACTTAGCTTATTAGGTCATGCAGCATGAGCCGAGCAGACAATGAGGGAGCAGGGCACTGGACAGACCAGCTTTGATTGGAGAAAGGGTGGAGGCCCTGGAGGAAGACCATTGGACGGCCATGGGAAGCCTGACTCCTGGAGAGCAGTTTAAGGCACCAGGCCCTTGGAGGTCTGGAACATATTGAAAGACATCCGAGGGCACAGGCAAGGAAGTGACCCAACGGGAGAACGATCTTTACCTGGTTTACAATTCTGTCTCAAGCCAGTGTGCCTGTGACCTTTGACATTGCAACACTGCCTGATGTTGCCAAATGCTGTGGCATCACCTACCCAGTCATGTAGACAGTGCCAAGCTGCAAATCTCAGCACACAGTCTCTTCATGACCCTCAAGTCACCAGGTGGTCATTTTCTGTGTTTTCTAAATAATTCACAGCATGAGAGAAAGTGGCGGAGGCTGCTTTTCAAAAGGCTGTCATCTCCTCAGTATCCCTTCCCTTGCCTGAAACCAGAACCATGTTCATTCTCTCTGTGGTAAATTTTTATAGACTCTTCCAAGGCACACAGAACATTTGCAGTTAGTGGTACCCGATTTTGCCTTAAATCTCAACAAATTTGTCATCCCTCACTTTCTAAATTATTGTATATTTAACTGACAAAAACAATCTGCCAAATTAATAGTTGTGAAAGAAAAAAACCAACAACAGTGGTTTGATTAATCTCACTGCACAAAAGCAAAATATTTGCAATGATTCTAGGCTTTAAAGCTGATACAAACCATGATTAAAATATTAGTATTGCCATATTGTCTTGGAATTCTGTTTAATTTGGTGAACCTCAACATAAGACTTGGAGAATTTCAAAATGATTAAAAGAAAAATAAGAAAATAATGCATGCCTTTCTTAAAGCATTAAGTAATTCAGTACACTTTTTCAATTGTATTGAAAGAGTGGGTTTTCTCCTCGCTAGTCTAAATGTTTCTTGAGAGTAGGGTTGGTGACTTCAGCTCATTTGTATTCTTCCATATATGCTTTTCACAAAATAAGTCCTCAATAAGTAACTCTTGTATTTGGTGACAAAGTGGATCAGAGAAGAGAAAGACACAATGCATTAGATGAATTTAGATTCTACTTTATGTAGTAGTTCCTATTTCTTAATTTGACAGTTTAAGAAGATCAGAGTTAGTCTCTTCTGAACATTTAAAAGAAGTAGGTAAATATTTTTTGAACTTTTGTGCTCTTGCTAAACAAAAGGGGAAATAGACCATAAGATTTTTAATACCTCTTCAAGATATATAATTATTTTCCCTTTTATATAACACAAATAGGATATCGCATTAAGATGAGTAACTAAACCAATTCCTTGTCCATTCTTAGTCAAAGTTATTTTTCTAAAGTGCAAATCTGATCATGTCATTTCCCATTTGAAACTCTTCAGTGATTCCCTATTGTCATCAGAATGAAATGTAAACTCCTTTTAATAGTTTCCTCATTATTATTTGGCCCAGGCTTCCTGGCCTCAACTCCTTCCCAACCTTACACCACCTCCCAGTAGTCATACCTCCTCCAGTTTCAACTCAACTGACCTACTTTCAGTTTCCTGAACCTTTCATGTTCTCCATTCCCTTTGTGTTTTTATATAATATTCCTTCTGCCAGGAATTCTCTTTCTCAGTTTTTCTACTACTGACTTATTTGCATATTTTTTTCTGTTTGAAATATATTGTAAATAGTTAAACTTACAAATAAAGAAAACAATATAATAGATGGCAATTTATGTACCATCTAAATTTGAGATATTAACATTTTGCAATTTTAAAAACAAGTCATTTAAAATCAACAGAGTATATGTTCAGATACAACTAATGGTCTCCCTCCCTTCTGCTTCCTTCCAATGCAGCAGCCACCTTCCTAGAAGCAGTGTATCATTACCACGCATATTTTATACTTTTACTACTTATGTTTATTTCCATAAATAGCATATTTGTAATTTGGTGTTCAGACCTATGGGGGAACTAGATTGTCTATAAAAATGAAAAATATTAGCCAAATAAAAAGATGAATATAGCATAGGAATATTTCCTTGAATTTCTTAATTTATGGGTGCACATATATTGTAAAGAAGCAAGAAGCTAAGATCAGTAACAGGATAGTCAACCTCAAATCAGAGTTTGGAATAAAAAGTCTATATAATAGAGTTAAGTAGTATTCATAAATAAACATGAAGTTTTACCCATTCCTAAGGTCATAGATGTGATATGTTGCTGTGTAAGAATATCTCCAAAGCTGTCAGAAAGAAGAGAGACAAAGACAAATTTTAATCTTTTAAAAGCTTATATCAAGATTGTATAGTCATAGGTCATTCAATTCAAGGTTCAGAATTATGGAAGGACTATTTTCATAGGGCACTAGGAAGAGTAAGTTGCAATTCCTAACTAGTCTTCATTTAAAGAATTTTACTGTGGATTTTTGTGCTGTTTGTCCATATTCCATAATTCAGCCCTCACTCCATAATAACCGTATTCAAAGACATTTGTTAATATGACAAGCTTTTATTTGACATGCTCTATAGAATTTTCCCTTCATATTTTACCTTGACTGAAGTAAAACCACCATGATTTCCATGGCCCATAAGGAGTCATCAGAATGAAATGTAAACTCCTTTTCATAGTTTCCTCATTATTATTTGCACCTGAATCATTGGTTATCATGACACCCATTAAAACGGGATAAAAAGAATTTCATTCAATGTATAGTTTTATTGTAAAATGCTCGCCTTTCTTTGAATATGGTTTTTTAAATTAATAGATTTTTTTAAATAGGAGAGATAGAGCATGTGACTCCTCCTTTAAAAACTAGTGTTTTTTTTTCTCATAAGTGTACTTATATAGTGGTTAGTGAATAATGCAGGTATTTTTTGGATTTTGTTTCTTAAAAGGGCGTTCAGACTCTTGACAAAGAAGGGCCAGAAGGCTGAAACATGTCTTTCTAAAGAATGCTGGTACCAGGACCCGGTCCTTTGGAAAATAATCAGTTGACTAAACAACAAGCAGGGGCTAGAGTAGACGAACTTTTCATTCTGAATATTAAGGGAGTTTTGCATCTCAAGTAGGATATGAAAAATGACAGTTAAAACTATAGGTTCTTGATCTAAAAGTAATTGTTAGATGTTTAAATCAGTAGTAAATTCCCTTGGCCTTTTGCAAAAATAAAATCATCTTGAAGATGTATAAATAGAAAAAAATAAGTTGTTGAACTTACCCTGCAACTTCAGTCAGGAGGGGGAAATTAAGGGCAAATGGTCTGGTTTGTGGGATTCTCCTACACGAAGCTTTTGGAGACAGATTTAAACTTCTGGTCTGTTAATGACTGAATGTCATCTTGCTTGAGCAAGTGAGTTAAATAAGTCACATCTTGATTTTTTTTTCATTTTAAATAATGAGCTTTTGTGAGGTTAAAATGTGGGAATTAACTAATGATTTATGATACCAAATAGCTTTAGAAATACAAAGATAATTCTCCCCTTTCTGGTGAATATCTGTGCCCTCAAATAAAGTGTTTTCCCAGAGGAAACTAGTTGCTACTACTTGCTGATAACCAGATAAGTAATCGAAATTATTTGCTTATGTTTCAGTTATGCTTTGGGGGCTCATCTAGAGCCCACATTAACTTCTTGAGTATTTAGAGATAAAAATACACTCTTGCTTCCTCTTACATTTATAAACCAAACTGTGGGTTAGTAAGAGATATAACCAGATATATCAAAATTAAATAGTCAATACCTTTGAATAATCACTTTCTAGGTATGCAAATTGCCGATCAGGTGATAAGCCATAATTTGAAGCATTCACACTTTTCTGAAATTATGAAAAAATTGATTAGGATGCAGAAAAAAAATAACAGAGCCATGTTAATTTGTAGTTCTAACAGAATAACACATCTTTGATATATCCTACTTGCATATATCTTCAGTGCAATTTTAAAACATTTATGCAGTACCTACTGTATAGGAAGAAACTTACTAGATATTATGGGAGGACAGTATAATAAAGATATACTTTGTGATTTCAAAAAGCTTATAATGTTAAACTTGTAGATAAGTAACTTATATTGCAAATTAGTTCTATAAAAGAAATATAAATATAACTTTACAAAAGCATTAAGGAAGAAGTGCTTGAATCCACATGAGAGTGATTGCTTGCATAGAGGAGGAGAGGGTCACCTGACTGTGGCTTTAAAAGATTAGCGGGCTCTTGAGGGGAGAGAAAGTAGGAGGGTTGAGAGCCTAAGAGGACGGAGTAGCATGTGCCTATTTATTCTACGTCAGGCACTGTCCAAAGTACTTTCAAATGTTACTTCACTTAATTCTTACATTAATACAAAGACCTATTATTATTCCTACTTTGCAGAAGAAACTGAAGCTTGGTAGTGTTAGTATAGTGTGGAACCGTACCCAATTTTCCACATGCTGTAAGTGACAGAGCCAGGATTTCAGCCTCAGTATACCTGACTACAGGATTGAGTTCTTAACTCTTATCTCAGACCATATTATTTCCACAGAGGAAGAAAGATGCTGGGTGATTTAGAGGAGGGAAGGGCAGGAGTCTAGTGTGAGGAGAAGGGAGAATTAAAGGAGAAGTAGAGTGGGATGGAGCTGAGAAGGCAGGTTGGGTCCAGATCAGGTGCTAAGAGTCTGGGCTCTTTCTTGATCAGTGAAGAGCTGGCAGTCTTTTGAGGAGGAAGATGATGTTGTATACATACCATGGTGGTATTACTCAAAATGGTATATGATTCTCCTGTTTCAATATTATAAAATACTATGTTATTATCTGTAGATTGATGGAGGTACTCTTGTCCTTTAAACAAGAAGGAAAACAAAACTTGAAATAATCTCCCTTAACAGGAACTACTTTTATAACAAAGAGAAATCTCTCTTATTTCACAGACTTATTTTGTTTTTCTTCTTTGTCCAGTACATATGACTTTGTCAGATTTAAAATAAGTTAATTGTAAAGGGAGAAAAGAATACTATTTCCTACTTTCCACAAAGATGCCCTATTTGTTAATAGCAGCCCTATCCTAACCAGTTCAGTGTGGTGGAATAAAATTGCCTTTTATCTGTGTTACAAAGAGGATAAACTAGTTTTAAATGCTAATTCTTTTCGCAATAAAAATTCATTTAATTTGGGTTATGCCTGATTGAGTTTAAAACCATTTTATGTGCATTTTATTTTCTAAAGAAAAAATGAAAATATTTGATTTTTAGTGGCACTTTAGACAAACTTTAGTTGACTTTATTATTTTTGATTAGCTTTATTTGACAACATCCTATTTTACAAAACTGTATGTAAATATTAATTGTATGGCCCTTAAAGGATTTGTTTTTAGGATGGGATTTGTCTATTTCTGGGATTATCCAGATTAACAATGGATTTCCCTTTTGGTAAAATTCTCATGACTTCTCTTAAATAGGTGTTTCTCTTCCATTCTGAATAACTATACCATATGCTCAGATTATTGTAACAATTCTCAACTTTCACTTTTCTGCCAAACTCCTATTGGCCTCATTATTGGGGGAAATCTGGTCTAAAAGGTTCTGTCAAAAGTGCTTTGCTGGTCACTTGATTATCTAAGTAAATGCTGTTTTTCCCCCCATGTAAACTGATATGGCTTTTGTTACCATAGAGATACATTGGCACTAAAAGCAAAAACAGAAAACATACTTTTTGCATTATGTTTTCTGATCTTTTCTTTTTTTCTTTTTTTATTGTTTAAAGTATTACAAATGGTAGTACATATGTCTCCTTTTCCCCCCATTGACCTCCCCCGCCCTCGCACATGCCCTCACCACACACACTCCGCCCAGATCTGTGTCCATTGGTTATGCTTATATGCAGGCATACAAGTCCTTCGGTTGATCTCTTACCCCCACCCTCCACCCAAACCTTCCCCTGCCTTCCCGCTGTAGTTTGACATTTAAAAAAAAAAACAAAAGTAAAAAAAAAAAGTTCACCTACCTGAAATCCAAGTTGGAAAATATGTCCAATAAGAAAATGTCCCATTTAAAATATCTTTCAGTGTAAGTGCTCTTGTTGTATTATTTCCTTCAGAGTTATGATCTTTGGGGGAAGATGAAACAAACTATTACTAAAAAGAAGATTAATCACTCAAAGTCTAAGGTTCTCTCTCATCTGTTCTCATATAATTAAAAAAATTGCCACTTGCAAAACACTTGTTTAACTTCTGTCTTAATAGATATAAGTATTATCTCCATCTTTATAGACAGGGTAACTGAGGCTTAGACAGGTGGTTTGATTGCCTGGAAGGGAAAACTGGTGGGAAAAAACTGGGGAGTATGAAGGGAATGGAGGGGGATGGTGCCGCGCAGTGGGGACGTTATTGTTCAGTTTGTGAAGAATTGTCAGAGATTTTTTTTAAGAAGGAGAGTGAAATGAGGTTCCAACATATTTAAGCCTTGCAAAACTGGGATTGAAGACCATGTGATTTTGACTAAAACTACACACTTAAGCACTTGACTGCATTTCTTCACATATGCATGGGTTGGATTTCTACTGACTTATTGAACATGTATTTTAGCAGCCCAGTTGTTCAGATGAGATCAGCCAGAACCTTTACTTCGGATATCTCAAGAGAGGCATTAATGAAGAGAGATAATTGCTTATCCTGACTACAGACTGTTACAAACAGAAAGTGAACCAGAAGAAAAGAAAGCCACATCATCTGGACAAATAATCTTAGAAATTCCAAGAGTAAAGATTTTCCATATAAAAACTAACCGAAGGTAGCTTATAACTATGAACAAATTTCACTTATATTTAAGTTGTCCAAACAATTGTGTTTTTCAAACATGACTATGCTCAGAGCCCTGAAACAGATATGCCCAAATGGATAGTATGGCAACCAACTTCCAATCTCCTTCATGTCCCTATTGCCGTCTTCATCCCTTCTCCAGGCCATTGCTTACAGAACCAAAACTTAGAAAAATGTCCTATACCTTGAATAGCATTTATGAATCTGGTATTTGCCCATGTAAAAATAACACTGCTGAAGATGAGAGTTTTATCTTCCTGCTAAATTTTTCCAGAGCTTTCCATAACTCTTAGAGTGAAGGTCTGGACTATAGTCTCTCGCTGGTCTAGATGGTCTGTCCCTCCAGCCCTTTTTCCCCTCTCGAATTACTTTCTAGACCTCAAACACACTGGGCTTTCTGCTCCTCAAATATTCATTTATTTCTCTAGGGCTTTGGCACCTCTTTCTACCCTCTCCCTTCTTCTCATAACTTCTGTCCAGCCTTTAGTACTCAATATAAGGGCCACTTTCTCTGGGAATCCCTTTCTGACCCCTGGTTTAGGTCTGGCTCCCTTGTTATACATTATCAGGGGTATGTTACTTTTTAAAAGAGCATTTGGCTTGCTTTGTAATCATGTGTGTATTTGAGTGATTATCTTATTAATATTTTTCACCTCCATCTGTATTCTCAAAACAGCCACCATAAGTCTGGAGATTATGTATGTCTCGTTTTGCTCTTCATCACATCCCTAGTGTCTAGCACATAATAGGCATTTAATAGATACTTGTTGAATAAATGGATGCATGAAATGAAGGATGAAAAGATGGATGAACGGAGGGATAGATGGATGGAGTTTGTGCCCTCTTCTTTACAGAATGCTTCTACTGCTAATTCCCTGTATGATTTTGGTAAGTCAATCTCTGGCATCACAGCTTTCTTAGCTGAAATATAAAGGACTGGACTAGAAAATGTTAATAATATCTTTCAGTTCTACTATATTAAATTTTGAAATTTGAGACTCAACATGTTCTGTAAGCTTTGTAGTTACATAAATGTACTGCCATGGTGATAAGAGCCAATTGACCAACTGGATAATAGCATCTCCTGCTATTTTAACTGATTAACACTGGGGCATGCATGCCCTGCACAACTGATTAAGATCATGAATTATTTTCTTAATTTACTAAAAATTACTCTGGTGGCTAAAAGAACACAAGTGATTGATGAGCTCCTTTGTAGCCAGACAATAAATGCTTAATAACATGAGCTTATTCTAAATTTTAAATGATCATCTTCTTACATTCTCTTTGGACCCTAAGTGAGGTTGTACATGCCATATGATTACTTATAGTGAAAGTTTTCCTATTTAATTAAGTGATCTTGTGCAAAATTCATATCACTGATCTTATAATTCCCAATAAATGAGTAAAAGACCATTTTGCTATAATAGCATTAGAATAAGCATTTTAATTAGGTTTTATTTAGCTCTCCTAAGAGCACATTGCAATCTATATCTAATGTTGTCAAGGGGAATTTCTAGCACTGTTATTGGCAATGAAAATTATTGTGTTTTTATTGATATTTTAGAGAGAGAGGAATGGAGGGGGGAAAGAGAGAGAGAGAGAAACATTGATTGGTTGCCTTCTTTTCACAGCCCACCAGATCAGGGATCAAATCCCCAAGTTCAGTATGTTCCTTGACCAGAGATCAGACCCGAAACCTGTTGGCATATGGGTCAACGCTCCAATCAACTGGGCCACCTGGACAAGGCAAAAATTGTTTTCCTTTTAAGATAATTTAATTTGTGTCTACACAATCCTGAACATATAGATATAAAATGTAGTGAATCCCTTTATTGTGAATACCCAAAAACCTAGATAATTATTTTATTTAAAATTGTTTAAATTGATTCAATAAATAAATATAACTGTGGAGATGCCTTTTTGTCTAGCATAAATAATGCTTTTATTATGGCTAATGACTTATATAATAGATTTTCCTATTTAAGTATACTTGCATATAATTTTACTTACTTGCAATTATGAGTAATTGAAAAATTCTTAGCTAAAGTTAATCTTTATTTTTATAGAAAGTTACAATAAATGACCTCATTTAAATGAAACATTTAGCTCTATGCCTGGCACATGATAAGCTGTCAATACATTTTGGATTTTGCTTTATCATAGCTTATCAGTATTTTTCAAATAAATATTTTTGATCAGTGTTTCACAAAGTAATTTGATTGATAGGACTTGTTTTTGTTTTTGTGTATCTACTAAGATCACAGTCTGGGGAAAAAGCAGTTTCATGTTAGGCTATTAGTATATATAATTAATATTTACTTTTATTCTAATATGAAACTTACCAGTTGTACTTGGAACATTTTGGTCATCCTGCAGCCTTCTAACTGAAATATCACAATTATGATATTAAATACAGTTAGTACTTATATCACATATATGGATAAGTAAAATTTATAAAACAGTAGTTTTTAAATACCTACTTCTACATATTTTTCTTTTCATATAATTAATAATGGTGCTGAACCTTATCAAATTTTTCAAAAATTTTCAAGGATTAGTTATTTGCTCTTTTATAACCTCTTATTTAGATTATCCAGGAAATTTACAAGAAAGTATATTTTATATTAGTTCCTAGTTAGCCATTTATTTTAAACTAGAGGCCCGGTGCATGAAATTCGTGCACTCAGTGGGGGGGGGAGGGTCCCTCAGTCCAGCCTGCACCCTCTCGCAGTCTGGGAGTCATCAGTCGGACATCCTTAGCACTGCTGTGGAGGCAGGAGAGGCTCCCACCACCGCTGCTGCACTCGCCGTGAGCCTGCCTCAAGGCTTCTGGCTGAGCGGTGTGCCCCTGTGGCAGCACACTGACCACCAGGGGGCAGCTCTTGCATTGAGCGTCTGCCCCCTGGTGGTCAGTGAACATCATAGCAACCAGTTGTTCCGCCATTCAGTTGATTTGCATATTAGCCTCTTATTATATAGGATGTGTTCATAGTAGCTATAAATGCCAATAATCTATATAGAGAACTTAGCATATGTCATGTTATGACTCAAGTTACCTATATAGCAATTTTAATAATGCATTAATTATACTGCTAATTACCATGATGATAATAAGCCACACCAGCACCCAAGAAGCAATGAGTAAATGTATAGAAAATATATTCAGTGGAGCCAGCTCTATTTATTCAGAAATAGGGTTCCTGCACAGATTTGGGTTTGATGAGTATGAATCTCACATGTGGTGCAGGTGAGGCTCAGAGGTGTGATTGATTATGCTGGAGTCAGGTGGGGCTCAGAAAAATACCAAATCAAATGGGAAGACTTTAATTAGTCATTCTGCTCTTTCTGTTCATAAATGTAATGAAGTAATGTGTCTGCTCTGAGATGTTGCATTAGGTCACATATTCAGAGGTATAAAACATAAAGTTTACTTAGAATTTTCAAACTTAGCTCTGGTTCTTTGTATATTTAGAAAGATTATAAACATAGTAATGTTTCATTGCACTATCAATGCTGACCACTACCATCAGCCATCAGCAGAAATGACCTTCCAGTGGGCTCTATGAAAATGCTATTGGCTTATTGCTATCTCAACACTTAGCTCAATTTATTAAATATAAACATTTTGTCTTTATATTTATGTGAATTGTATAAGGCATAGGTCTTTACCATGATAACAGAGTCTGTATTTGACTTTTCTCACTGTCATATGTCCAGTAGCTAGAATAATGCTTCACATACAGAGAGAGCATGATAAATATTTTTGAATGAAAAAAAATAAATCAACTTGACAGATTTTATGTTAACTTATTTTCACTAATTTCCACCCAAAGATATACCTGCCCTTATTCTCTACCCTCCTATCCATGCGGTAAATTTCAACGTGGATAGGCCCTAATTAAAAAATGTATCCAAATTTAGTCCCTGGAGTCACTTGGATGCTATTTGAAAAATAGATTCCTAATCCTTATCTCAAACCTAATGGTTCAGAATCTCTGGGGATGAGGTCCTGCTAACTTTCATTTTTACCAATACCCCCAGGATATTCTTCTGCAAAGAATCCAAACTTAGTGATTTCACTGAATGTATTCAGTGAATTGTACTTCACTGTACCCCTGTGCCTCTCATTGGGATGCCCTTTGCCTTTAAACTCTTGGTATGTGGATGGGCATGGCCTGAACAATACCAAATCAAATGGGAAGACTCTAAATTAGTCATTCTGCTCTTTCTGTTCATAAATGTAATGAAGTAATGTGTCTGCTCTGAGATGTTGCATTAGGTCACATATTCAGAGGTATAAAACATAAAGTTTACTTAGAATTTCCAACCTTAGCTCTGGTACTTTGTATATTTAGAAAGATTATAAACATAGTAATGTTTCATTGCACTATCAATGCTGACCACTACCATCAGCCATCAGCAGAAATGACCTTCCAGTGGGCTCTATGAAAATGTAATCCATATCTCATGGACATAGATACCCACAACTAAGTGTTGATCGTGGCCTTCAAGGAATGTTAATGATCTACAATGTTTATACCCCTATTCAGTCCTCTTGCCCACTAGCTTTTCAGGCTACACTCAATTGGATTCTTCTTAAGTACATTTCCTCTGCCGATCCTTGAAGAATGAAAAAAGGGCAAGGGGTCTGATTCTGATCCAGATTAGATTTAAACAAGATTGCAGGGAAAGCACTGAGGGTTTTATTTTCTAGTGTCGTGAATGTGTGTGTGTATGTAAATTAGTATAAAATGTATCTCTATGACTAAACAAGTTCCTGTCACCTAAAAAAGATGCCACTAGTAATTATTGAATGAATAACTGGATTTTCATGCTCCTTACAAATAATCTACACTAATAAAAGAGACACATGCAAATTGGTGTCACTCTGCTACCCTTCCCATTGGCTAATCAGGGCGATATGCAAATTAACTGCCACCCAAGATGGCGGCTGGCAGCCAGGCAGCTTGAAGCGAACATGAGGCTTGCTTGCTTCAGTGACAAAGGACTCCAACGTTCCCTGCCTGCTGCTGCCGGCCTCTGAGCTTGCAGTTTGAAACATTGTTACAAATATAGAAGCTAAACAAAACCCCAGAAACCTGCTTTCAGCCAGCTGGGATCTCAGAGCTGGAGTTGAAACAGTGTTTCGATTATAGAACCCAAACAAACCAAATACCTGCTTTCAGCAGCCGAGGCCTAAGAGCTGGAGCCACGCCTCAGAGCTAAAGCTGGCCCAGAATAAAAGAAAAAAAAGAAAAAAGGAGCAGTTGGCAGCTTCAGTCACCCTCCAGCCTGAAAACAGCCATCAGCCCCTCACCCAGGCTGGCCAGGCACCCAAGCGGGACCCCCACCCTGATCCAGGACACCCTTCAGGGCAAACCAGCCGGCCCCCACCCGTGCACCAGGCCTCTATCCTATATAGTAAAAGGGTAATATGCCTCCCGGCACCGGGATCAGCATGACAGGGGGCAGCGCCCAAACCCCCTGATCACCCTCGGGCTCTGTGTGTGACAGGGGGGGAGGGGCCACAACCTCCCTATCCGCCCTGCTCTGTTCGTGACAGGGGAAGGCGCCCCAACCCCCTGATCAGCTCTGCTCTGTGCCTGATAGGGGGGAGCTCCCCAATGCCCTGATCGCCCTGCGGCTCTGTGTGTGACAGGGTGTGGCGCCCCAACCCCCTGATCGGCCCTGCTCTGTGTGTGACAGAGTGCGGCGCCCCAACCGCCCCCCACGGGCCCTGCTCTGTGTGTGACGGGGTAGAGCCATAACCTCCCATCAGCCCTGCCCTGATGTGATGAGCAGGGTGCGGCGCCCCAACCCCCTGATCTGCCCTGCTCTGT